TATCTCGCATTTCCTGCGTGCAGGACTAAAACTCAACTTTTGCTGACTTTGTAGATATGGGACTATCTTGAATGGACCACCCACAAGGACCCATCATCTCTCTGTGTGTGCGTGTGTGCCTATGTGAGCTAGGGACTGCGTGCCATTAATAGGCGATTTAAGTTTATTTTTTGCCCGTTGGCCCCAGCCTTTTATTGACACTGGCCCGAGTTGCCCTTGAAGCACTTTGCATGGCGCCTTCCAAGTGCTCCACACATTTGTATTGAATACACTTCGCCCTAGCCCCAGCCCCAGCCGCCCCTATACAACCCCCCGCTCCCTGGAGTCTGCCTGAGCCTTGGATTTGTTGGTTTTTCTTTCTCTGTGGCCCCTTTTGCGCATAGGCGCTGCCTTTTAGTTGATTCGTTCAGGCAAACAAACTGGCAACAAAGTGCAATACACACGCACACACACACAAACACACACACACACTGGCAGACACTCACCAGGGATTGGACACACAAATTGATTTTAATTGTTAAGCATTCCCTTTTTTAATTGTCCTAATCTCTGCCAAACTCTGGCCTGGCCAATATCCATTACCTTTATATGTTGCCCCGCCCACCTAGCAGCTGCCGCCTCTCCTAGTCCACACTTTTTTCCCGTGCCTGACTGTGCAGTTGCCATTTTGCCATTTTCTCAACAAATGTCCTTTAAGAAGGCCTTTTTTTCTGTTGCTGTGAAGGGTTAACCGGTCCCAAAAGGCCACAGCCATGTGTGTGTGAGTGTGTGTGTGTATGTGTGTATGTGTGTGTATGTGTGTAAGTCTGAGTTTGGTTTAGCTTACGGTACAGTTACACTTTTGCTGCTGGTTAATGACCAGTTAGAATTGAGCTTGATGCGACTGCTCTCTCTCTCTCTATCTCTCTCATACGTATTCAGACACACTCTCTCTCTCTCTCTCTCTCTTTCTATATATATATATATACAGCCTTGTTGTACCCACATCACTTATTGTTCACTTATTTGTATAGCTAAAGTTGAGTCTTATTTCTATACTCCAGCTCTGTCTCGCTAGCTCGCCCTCTCTCCGCTCCCTCCCCCTCGCCTTCTGTCAATGTACTCACTTTGGGGCATGCCACTCACTCAGCATGTGTCTTACTTAATGAAAGCAAGCCGCCTCTGCTGTGCTCTATATTGCCTAGTGCAGCATCCTTCGGGGGCTTCAGCTTTGACACCTTGAATTTCATAAGATCCGTCAATATCCCGTCTTCATATCAAGCTGCTTGGCACAATGGCTCATTGGCAGGAATAATGTGAGAAGAAAACAATTAGTCAGCTGCCGACAATGGCTAATTGTTTAGCTGGTCAAAAACTATGCGCTGCTCTCGGGGGCACATCGAAAGGTTCAGATGTGGCCCCCTGGCCCGAGGCGCAATGGTGGGCTTATTGGCATTTATCGCAGAGAGCGCTGGGTGGGTTGGCGCGCCAGCTGCAATGGTGGCCAGGAGATTGGCGTAGAAAGTGGCTCAAGTCAAGCGAACTGGCCTAGCTGAAAACTTTGCCGTCGCGGGCGTTCAATATAGCATTTCTCAAACTTATTTGCACCAGGTGGGCCTCTTATTGATTTATGGGAGAGGCAGGTCGCTCGATTGGCCGTTGTCGTTGTCGTTGTCGTTGGCAATGAGGCCAAAACTGTAAATGACAAAAGTCTGAAAGCGAAGGAAGCTCAACATCCGCTGCAGCTTGCATCTAATAACTAAAAGATGATAATAATGCGAGCGAGCTGCGCAACTGGACTGAACGGAACGGAACGGAGCGAAGCGGAGCGGACTACACAAACTGGTTCGACCGGAGCGTCGAGCATAAAATAATTAGCATGGGGCCGTTGGTCGCTGGGCGATGGGCGCTGAATCGAGAGCCGAGTCGAGTCGAGTCGAGTCGAGCTTACATTCATCACAAAAATAACTTCATTGGCATGGACTGGACGCTGGGGAGCTGGACTCTGAACTCGGACTGAGGCTCGGGCGTTGCCGCAGCACCTGTTCCCCAATTGCAGCCAGCTATAAATATCGCAAAGATGTTTGGCATGCTGCGTAAAGGATGCTGTACGCATGCTGCAGCTGCAAACAACTTGTGGCCGGCCAGTGGCAGCCACCGGCCAGTCCGGTGTCCAGCAGCAGCAGCAGCAGCAGCAGCAGCAACAGCAGCTGCTACTAAAGGAAGCCCATTGGCAGGGAAGTGACGCTGACAAAACAAGCTGCCCTCTCCACCCGACTGACTGCCTGCCTGCCTGGCTGCCTGGCTGAGTGGCTGAGTGGCTGTGGTTTTTTAGCCCCTGTTCATCGAATCGATGCTGTTGCCGCATCGATTGGTTGGCCATAGAGCCAACTAGAGATTTATGTGTGATAAGCGTCGCCTGAAAAATAATTACTGTATCTGCAGCTAGTTGGGGCAGCTCTTAGCCAACTGGCAACTGGCAACGGGCGAGTGGCAGCAAAAATTGAAAACTGGAGCGGAAAGCGTTTGCAGCGGAAATGTTTTTGTTTGTCGAATGATTGGCATTTCGGTTACCAGCGTAGACCCCAAGCCTGCCAAAGCCGTCAGCTTATGAACGGCAGAGCAAGGGATACGAAATGCCAGTTGGCTTAGCATTGAGTGAATCAAACGAAAAACTCATAATAAATATTTAATTAACCAGGCGGATAGATGAAACAGAAACATCTAATCTATAGCTAAATATATATATATACTTCTATAGTTAGAGCTAAGCAGCTCGCCTTTGCAGTGACAATAAACTGCGCCTGAAAGTGAAATCTCTCTGGCTGTTCGACACTTTCCAGCATTAAGATAAAGAAAAGTACAACAGCAAAGAGCATAAGAAGAAGAAGAAGAAGAAGCAGAAGACAGCAACAGCAACAAAAAACGGTGTGGGACTGGCGATAAACGAGCGTGTCTATAATCACTTTTAATTAGCGACCATCGCGTCGGGCTTTCGGGCAGCAGCAGCAGCAGCAGCAGCTGCCAAGCAAATGGTTCCCATACACATGTGTGTGTGTGTGTGTGTGTGCATGGTCCGAAAAAAACTCAGTGCATGGCTCTAATTTTTAGTCATTTCCAGCTCTGGAGCTGGGCAGCAGGGGAGGGGGTTACTTGGGGGCTCTCTTAAGTCAAACGGAAGCAAACGCGGTAATCTTTTGCTTTGTGCGTTTTGGGCTGCTCTTTGGTTTTATGGATTTGTGCTGCTGCTGCTGCTTCTTCTTTTTCAGTGTCTCTTTTTTATGCTGAGCTATAATTTGATGTGTGTGTGTGTGTGTGTGTGTGTGTGTGTGGAGCGCCAATTTCCGTATAAATGCAATAAAAACAAATAACAGCCGCGAACTACAAGAAAACAAAATTAGTTGAAAAGCAATAGACGCCAAGTGGCGGAAGTGAACTACTTACTACCAAAAGAATACACAGACAGACACACACACACACACGCACACACACACATACATCTCTATAGTAGCAAATGTTAACAGCAATGCGTGAGAAAATCCAAGCAGAGCGCGCAGCTGACTGCGTGCAGGTGAAAGGGGCAGCAGCTAGAGTTCGGCTATTGGCAGCACAGTTTAAGCCAAACTTGAGGATAGTTGTGCACTTGCTGGCTAATCAGCGTGCCTCAAGTGCATTACGAGTGCAGCACACGCGCTTCACTTGATTACTCATACAAATATACAATATATATATATATATATATATATATATATATATATATCCATGTTAATGTCTTCCTTTAGTTAACGCTTTTGCCATTAAGCCCCAAATCGATAGGAAAATCAATAGAAATTCAATGTCAACATTCATCAAATGTGGCTCAAGAGCTACCTAATTGGGCTGCAGCAATTAGCTCCATTTATTCGGATTGATAGAAATTGTCCCTAGTTTGTGCTGCACTGGCCTAGCCTATTTGTTGTTGCTTTTGTCCTGTTTTCAATACTATGCCAGTGTTGCAAAAGGCCTGAGGCACTTTGAATTCTATTATTGCCCTCAATGTTCATTAAAATATATGATTTATTTGAGATCATAACGTGCAAAGCGCTGGAGAGGGAGGGCGAGCTGGAGAGCAAGAGGGGGAGAGAGAGAGACAGAGACAGACAGTAGCTAGCTGCTTTTTTATACTCATGCATGAAGTAAACGAGTATATTGGCTTTGCGCAATGTTGGTTCGCACGTCCTTTCGTCCTTCCGTCCTTACGCCCTTTCGGCTGTCCTTGCGAGCGCGTATCATGCAATCGGTGGCGCCCGACTGCAACACTCTAACTTTTTTTTTAGTTTTGCCTGTTCGCCGTCTAGCAAACCCTTTTTTATCGTAGGCCGCATTTCATATTTCGCTGCTGCTTTTCGCTCTCCTTTTTTATATTTATGACGCGCGCACATTTTTAACATTTTACGAATTGCCGGGCTACATTTTTGCACATTTGCCGTTTATATGTTTCGGCGGTCGTAAACGTGCGGCGCCCGACCCGTACCAGGCGGGCCAGTGTCAGCTCTGGCGCACTTGAGACTCCATAGACTCCAGCTAATTTGAATGTTATTCGCTGCTTGCTTGTTTCATTTTATGTCTTCTTCTGCTTCTTCTTCTTGTTATTGTTGTTGCTGTTGCTGTTGCTCTCAGTGGCACACGTAGAGGGCTGCCTGCGAGTAAACATAAATAAAATGAAAAAAAAACGAAATAAATAAAAAAAATAACACGCCCAGCAACATCAACAATAAACAATAAACAATAAACAATAAACGCTAAAATAATACACGACAAGAGCGCCGCGAGCTCTCGATAAATTCGCCTTGCCGGGAATGAATGGCAAAATCGTCTCATTTTATTTCAATTTTCGAACAAGTTTTTCATGTTCGCTCGGCTTCACTTTTCGTGCCATTCTTTCAACTTACACTCGCAGTAACTGTAACTGTAACTGCACACTCTTAGCTAGACAACGAAATCCACTCATTGCGTGTATCCTTCACTCTCTTGCAGCCGAACACAATGACATTGGGTGCGCAGCTGGTGCTGCCGCTGCTGCTGGCGGTGTGGAGCGCGCAGGCGAGTCCATCGCTGTACACCAGCTATCAGAACCAGCGCTTCGCGATGGAGCCGCAGGACCAGACGGCAGTGGTCGGCGCACGTGTAACGCTGCCCTGTCGCGTCATCAACAAACAGGGCACGCTGCAATGGACAAAGGATGACTTCGGTCTGGGCACGTCCCGTGATCTGAGTGGCTTCGAGCGCTATGCGATGGTCGGCAGCGATGAGGAGGGCGATTATTCGCTGGACATATATCCGGTGATGCTGGACGACGACGCCAAATATCAATGCCAAGTGAGCCCCGGCCCGGAGGGCCAGCCGGCCATACGTTCCACATTTGCCGGCCTCACCGTGCTCGTGCCGCCGGAGGCGCCAAAAATTACGCAGGGCGATGTCATCTATGCCACCGAGGATCGCAGAGTCGAAATTGAGTGTGTGTCAATAGGCGGCAAGCCCGCAGCCGAGGTAAGCGTCAGCACTCCTACATACCTATATATATATAGCTTTATCTGCCTATCGACATGTCCTGGCAGCAGCCAAACCGCAGCATGTTGAAAGCGCACTTTCACACGAGCCCCAGTCGAAACTAATCAAACAAACAATGGATAGCAGTCAGACCACGCCGTGTCGAGGTTGGCTCTGTTACTGTTTCTGTTGCCAGATGAGTCACTAACTGACTGACTGACTGACTGACTGGCTGGCCGGCTGTCGGACTGACTGGCTGGCTACCCAGCCCCAAATTGAGCTAACACTAACCAACACAATGTTGTCTCTCTCCCTCTCTCTCGCTGCAGATTACATGGATTGATGGCCTGGGCAACGTACTAACGGATAACATAGAGTATACGGTTATACCGTTGCCCGATCTGCGTCGCTATACGGCAAAATCGCTGCTGCGCCTCACACCCAAAAAGGAGCACCACAACACGAATTTTACGTGCCAGGCACAGAACACGGCCGACCGCACCTATCGCTCAGCCAAAATACGTGTCGAGGTAAGCGTCGCACCTCTACCTGCCGCCCCCCCTTAACATGCCATTCAATTTCGAATGCCCCTCGACCCATACGTACCGAAATACCGCTCAACGACCCACCCGCCCCTGGCACTGGGCTGGCGGTGCTGTCAGTGTAGCGGAGCGACTGCAATTTCAGCATCAGTCTGGTGTGGTGAATGGGCCTCGGTCTTATCTACGGGCCTGGCACAATGCGCTGACGCGTCACAGTCAACGCTTGAGCCAACTATCAATATTACGTGATGGCTGTGCTAGGCCTCGCCCATCGTCCATCGTCCGGAAGTCCAGTCCGTTCTGATTCATTTTTTTGTTTTTGTGAACGGGCTTCTGTGCTGGACACGGCCTGTGACAGTGATGGGCTAATTCATGGTGAAAAATAAGGCATATGGCACAGGGAATGCTCAGCTCAAATCCTTAGTTAAGTGAAGGTATGCAATGGCTTACACTGCCCTTTGTCAGCTGTCAAACTCTCCGCCCGCTGCCACACACAGAGCTCCTCACTGCCCTGTCAATGAGGCACACGAAGATTCTGTTTCTTGCCATCAATTTGGGGCTCTGTCAGCTGACAAATTCATAAAGCGCTCTTGAAACTAATTATGAATGGTGCTTAATGAAATGTCCTCAATGGAACGCACGCAGCTGGAGCTCACGCAAACGTCCGTTCGACTGCTGCTCCCAGTTCGATCTAATTAGAATGTAGAAAAACAGGAAGAAGAAGAAGAAGAAGAGTATTCGATGCTTTAATGTCTTCTCGTCTGGCGAAAGATCAAAGCAAAGAATTTTTAGGCAGAAAACCTCATTGAGTTAGGATTTTCCTGCAGAGCTCAACTAGACCCTTGCCCTAGGCCCAAGTCTTTTAATATTTGCCGATGTTAAATGTTCTCCCTTCTGTTTCTGCCTTCCTAACAGGTTAAATATGCGCCGAAAGTCAAGGTGAATGTGATTGGATCGGGAAGTGGTAGCGCCATCAACGCTGCCGCTGTCGCTGGCTCCACCGTTGGCGCCGTTCAGCGTATTGTGGAGCATGCACAGGTGCGACTCGAGTGCCGCGCCGATGCCAATCCAAGCGATGTCCGTTATCGCTGGTACATCAACGACGAGCCAATTATAGGCGGTCAAAAAACTGAGATGGTAAGTGCTCCGGCAACTGTCAGCCATTCCCCTCTGCCCCCTCCCCCCAGTCGTTGTTGCGCAATAGAAAAACGTGGTTGTTCGCCTGGCCACGTCCACATTCCAGCATCGGGCCGCATAATTAGAGCAACTTTGCTGCCGCTGCGATAAAAATGTTGTATAATGCTGGTGGGCCGGGCCGGGCCGAGCTATTTTGTCATGGCAATTACAACTGGGGAGCTGATCAGACCTGACCAAGAACCAGTTGCGGCGGCAGCCGGAAAGACATAACGTTCCCACAATTTGCCGTCATTCTTGGCAATCCTCAAACAGAATCTCAATCTCAAACTCAAACTGAAACGCAATCACAATCTCCATCTGTAGGTCATACGCAACGTGACGCGCAAATTCCATGATGCCATTGTCAAGTGCGAGGTACAAAATTCAGTTGGCAAGAGCGAGGACAGCGAGACACTGGACATAAGCTGTAAGTGTATACTCACGCCCCCATATCTCCGAAGGCAGTCAGAGCTAACGACTGCTTTGTCTCTAAATAGATGCGCCCAGTTTCAAGCAGCGTCCCCAGTCCATGGAAGCGGACGTTGGCAGCATTGTCTCGCTCAACTGTGAGGTGGACAGCAATCCGCAGCCGGAAATCGTGTGGATACAGCATCCCAGCGACCGTGTCGTGGGCACCAGCTCCAATCTGACCTTCAGCGTGAGCAACGAGACAGCCGGACGCTACTATTGCAAGGCGAATGTGCCGGGCTATGCCGAGATCTCTGCCGATGCCTATGTCTATCTGAAGGGTTCGCCCAGCATCAGTTCGCCGCGCTCCCAGTATGGCCTGATCGGGGATACGGCACGCATCGAGTGCTTTGCCAGCAGCGTGCCGCGCGCTCGTCACGTCTCCTGGACCTTCAACGGTCATGAGATTAGCTCTGAGTCCGGTCACGACTATTCCATACTGGTAGACGCAATGCCCGGCGGCGTCAAGAGCACGCTGATCATACGCGACAGTCAGACCCATCACTATGGCAAATACAACTGCACCGTGGTCAACGACTATGGCAACGATGTGGCCGAGATTCAACTACAGCCCAAGAGTAAGTATCAGTTGAGTGGGTCGATAACTTGTTGACTTTAGCTCTAAAACTGCGCTAGATATGGCTTTCCGATGTCCCATGTCCGATGTCCGAGCGAGTCTTTTAGGCCTTTCAGTCCCACCTTGTTCCATGACTAACGCTTGCCCACTTGTCTATACTTGTCTCGCTGCAGAGAGCGTCTCCTTGCTGACGACCATTGTGGTGGGCATTTCGGCTGTGGCCGCGCTCATGCTGCTCACCTTCATCATGATCATCTACTTCAAGTGCAAGAAACGCACTAAGCTGCCACCAGCCGACGTCATCAGCGAGCATCAGATCACGAAGAATGGCGGCGTCAGCTGCAAAATGGAGCCTGGGGATCGCACCTCCAATTACAGCGACCTCAAGGTGGACATATCCGGCGGCTATGTGCCCTATGGCGACTACAGCACACACTACAGCCCACCGCCGCAGTATTTGACCTCCTGCTCGACCAAGTCCAATGGCAGCTCGACCATACTACAGAACAACCATCAGAACCAGCTGCAACTGCAGCAGCAGCAGCAACATCATCATCACCAGCAGCAACAGCAGCAGCAGCAGCATCACCAGCAGCAACAGCAGCAGCAACAGTCGGTGGTGCAGAGCGTGCCGATGACTTTCCTGACCAACAGCAGCGGCGGCAGTCTGACGGGCAGCATCATTGGAGCACGTGAGATACGCCAGGAGAACGGCCTGCCCAGTCTGCAGTCGACAACGGCTTCGGTGGTTAGCTCCTCGCCAAACGGCAGCTGCAGCAATCAGAGCACAGCAACCACCACGCACGTGGTGGTGCCCAGTTCCATGGCCCTGAGCGTTGATCCGCGCTACAGCGCCATCTATGGCAATCCCTATTTGCGTACATCGAACTCCTCGCTGCTGCCGCCTCCCACGGCGGTCTAAGCCGGTCCAAGGCGCTCCAAGCTAGCCCCTGCTGCGGCAGCTGCCCAAGCAACCACTCGCAAGACTGATCTCAAGGGCAGCAGGCGCTGGGCACTGGGCGCTGGAGCAGACCAGGAAGGGTAAGTGTGAAGGATCCTTCAAACGTTTTTAGCAACCAAAAATTCGAATTGTAGAAACTTAAGGAACTTAAGAAATGAGCTCACATGACGCGTCTGATTAGGCAGCACATAACTAGGCTAACGCTGGGCAGATGCCAGCTAGTGGACTATATTAGACCTCTACATATGTATATGTATAGCTACACTACACTACAGACATACTTAGTATTCTACTCTAACTTTAAATATATAGAAAAAGAAAGCATTCAACTCTTCTTCTTCTTCTTCTTCTGCCTAACTTAGACGAATGAATGTCAGATACAATTTCTATCGCTAGTTGTAGGTTGGCCACTCATATATATATATATGTATATATATATATATATATATATATATATATATATATATATAGATTTTATAGTTGATTGCGCATTTACAAGTGCTTAGAAACTTGCTGCATGTTAAGAGAAAACGCCTTACAAAGATTATTTATTACACAAAAATTTAAAAATATCCACAAAAAAAAAGAGAAAGTTAAAAAAAAAAAGTTTTATATATACATAAAAAAAGAAAATACTTGCGTGCCTTTAGTTGTGCAAAAAAAAAAGAAATATATCTATATATAACGGAAACTTGCTTTGCTTAAGAAAAGAAAAGAAAAACGTCAAATGCATTTTATCTCTCTTCCAATTCATATCTCTCACAACTATATACCACATATCCCCCAGCTAAGTATACCGCAAATGTTTCTGCAGCTCAAAAGTAGGCAACAAATAGTGCAGTTCGAGGCGCGCAATGACAAAAAAAAAACTAAAACTATAATGAAAAATAAAAACCCTATTTAAGCTAGCAAATGGAGGCGTTGATTGAATGTGCTTGCATTGCTTAAGAAAATTATGCCAAAGTACCTGATAGTATTTAAGATGTGCATTTTTTTTGTCGCTCTAGTATTTTAGTGGTATTTTTTAAGACATTTCAACTTTTTTTTTATTAGAGCTTAAGAACATGATAAAAGGAAAAAATAAACAAAAAACTTAGCAGCTAAATACTCAATCTTTAAGCAGACGCCTTAACTTATGACACGCCCACATCAGAGATAAAGAGAAAAAACTTAAGTAAAATAAAAATGAAATGAAATAAATGAGTTTAAACAAGTTCGTAAGTTCTAAGTGTACTTCTAAGTATATAACGGTAATTTATCTATATACATATAGATCTATAAATATATATATATATATATATATATATATGTATCCTAGCTGCAGTATGCCATTAACAGTTACACATAATTAGTCTATAACTATATATACAACTAACTTTTTTTTTTCTATATAATAATAATTAGGGTTAGACAGCCTTTAGCTTTGTTTCCCATTTAACATACTATATATATATAAATATATGTATATGGATATATATGAATTAATAAATTGGAAAAACAACTTCTTTTTTTCTCATAAATTGCTAAATTTTTTGGTAAATTAATTAAGCGAATCGAACGAAAATGATTTATGGCAGTTGACAAAGCGTAAATAAATAAATAAATAAATATATATATATATATATACATATATATATACAAATTATATGAAATGAAATAAAATAAAAATTTATTGCAACAAAAAAAAGGAAAGGAGAAATTGATTGTTAAATTGTTTTCCTTTGAGTCTTAAACTGGGCAAGTTCAAAGCGAAACTGGGCAACGTCGCCACTGCCTGCTGCCAAAAAGTCAAATAAACAGGAATTTTTAATTTGACCCACGCGCTGGCGGTGCGCCTGGTGGTTGCTCTTGTTGGACTTTGAGCTGCGACTGCGACTGCGACTGGAGGCTGGGTGGGGCTGGGGCTGGGGCTGGGCGACTGCCAACTGTCGCGTCACTAAGCTGTCAGCTGTAAAAGCTAAAAATCAAACAAGCAGCAGTAAAAAGCAACGCACCACCAAGCATGTGTGCGTGTGTGCGTGTGTGTGGGTGGGGCATAAAACAAAGAGAACAAGCTGCAGCATGGGTGGCAGCAGCAGCTTTGCCCGGGTCGTCTGTGGCGCAAGTCAGTTGGCAGTGCAAACAAACGGCTCGCTAAGCTCGACTAAAAATGCTTAATGAGTGCGTAAGTAAGGGTCGCAAATCCACATACCAGCACACACACATACACACACACCCAGAGAGAGAGACGTGCTGCAACGATCCACAAGAAATTTTGCGGCACGACGCGCGTTAAACCAAATTAGTTGCTTTTGTCACAAACGACCCGACAGCCGCAATCTACCTCCCCCCGCCCCCACTCACTCTCAGTGGGCGTGGCAAGTGGCCTGGCTGAGCTATAACTATGCGAGCACTACGTGCACTTAGTCGTCGGAAGTTGCAATTGCGGTTTACTGTGTTAATTGGCTTGACATTGTTGTGGAAACTATCGTGAGTTGCAGTCGCACGCATCGCGTCACTGTGTGTGTGTGTGTGTGTGTGTGTGTGTGTGTGTGTGGGTGGGTGTGTGTGTGTGTGTTTCAGTGTGTGTGCAAATCAGACTTGCGATATACGCCAGCAAGCCTATATGCTTACAATTGCTTGAACCGCTGCGCCAGCCCTCGCTGTATACCCTGTAATACGTGCGCATGAAGTGCATATTGGGCGCGTAGTCAAGCTGTTTCAAGCAGACAACAGACATAGCAATAGATATGGTTCTGTGAACGACTAAGGCTCGATGTCATCAAGCTGAAAAGACTTGATCTGAGCTGTGCCAGATCCACTCAGCTGTGGTTGATCTTGTCTAGCCTAGGCCAAGTCCACTTAGCTGTCCACGATCTGATCTGAGCTTGGCTAAGTCCACAAAGCTGTTGAGGATCTCATCCACTTGAGGATCTGATCTGACCTAGGCCAAATCCACTCAGCTGGCCACGATCTGATCTTACCTAGACCTCATCCAGTCAGCTCTAGATGATCACAATCCAGCCTATATATGGCATATATACTTCATGGGAGTCATCGAGTAGCGCAGCTGCTAGTCAGCCCAGTTAGTGGTGCGAGCCAAGTTAATGTTTGCTTTACTTTAAGTTACTCTTTTTTGCTCGGAGCTCCGCGTTAATCACCCGCCCAGTGTGGTGGCGTGGCGCCATTTTGTAAGCAATTGGTGGCTGCAGCGCGTGCATCTGGAGCCTGACGCACGTCAAGCGCCGAGGTAGACAGCAGGAAGCAAGAAGAAAAACGGACACAAGTTGCACGAAGAGTTACGATTTCATTAACATGAGATATGGCGAGTGGTTTGCTCTGTGCGTGGGTGGTGCGAGCTGGAGTGTGGGCTGATTGGGGTCAGCTGTGCGTCGCATTGGGCTGTTTTATGGCTCAAGTGGCTGACTGGGTAGTCGTTGTCGCAGTGCGTTGTGTTGTTAATTGTTAACGCAATAGTGAAGCGGGAGGTGGCTGCTGCTTGCTGGGTGTTGGGTGTTGGGTGGTGGGTGGTGCTTGGTGGGCGATGGTTGGCTGGTGGCGGGTGGCGAGCCGACCCTGTCGGCATGTGTGTGTGGACGACTTTGTCCATATGATTAGGAAATGTTTTGTTTTTCACTAAGCACTAAAAATGAAATGGGCGAAGCGTTACACACACACACACGCACACACACTCATGCCATGTCGACCGCAGTGGAATGAATGGGTAGCGCACTGGGACGTTTACACAACCGAAACTTTTGCTCTTGCTCTGATGTTGCTTAATGTTCTAGCGACCCGTTCTGTGTAATTGCTCGTGTGTGCGTGTGCGTGCGTGTGTGCGTATGTGCGTATGTGTGTGTGTGGGTGAGTGTGTGGCTCATATTTGAGGCAGGCGAGTTGAATTTCTTGAATTAATAAAATGTCTTCATTATTTAAATTGCACGCACGACCACAGGCGTAACCCACCCGAATGTGGTGCTCAAACAAACCCACCAACATATGTACATACAAGCTCAACCACACACACACACACACTCGCTCGCTCATCTGAGCCTGGTCGTTTGCCGTTGTTGGTGCGGCCAAGTTAATTAGCAGCTTGGGAATTGTGAAATATATTAATATTGTACACTTTGGTAGTTGTGTCCTTTTCGAGCCCGCCATCGACCCCGGCCAGCAAAAAACGCGCGACTGTCGCCCTTTTCGACCGCACTGGGACACTGGCAACCGCAGCTCCATATGAGCTCCGGCCCCATCTATCGTTCCTGCTGCAATTACAATCGATAGTCAACCAAATGAATATGGCTTCAGGCGATACATATATAGACATACTTATATATAGACATATATATGTGTGTGCATAAAGAAATGTCAGCTTGTCGTTGTCAAGTTCAACTGTTGATTATTGAATAATATAGTTAATAGACATCAAATGGTACCAAAAATAATATTTATAGAGTGTAGAATAGACTTCAAATATAATATTTCATAACCAAACTGACAAAACATAAACAAACACGCAGAAAGTGCAGTCTCCACTCATCTAAACAAACCAGTTTAATGAAATTTTCAAAAACGCGCGCCAATTCATGATACACAAGGTTCACGCTAGATGGCGCAGCTTATCGAACGAGCAGATCATCAACAAAATTTAACGAGACTTTCAAGAAAAAAAACAACGAAAAGCTCTTTAATAATAGAACTACAACAAATAAATGCAAATGGCAACGCAATCGGCGCGATTATCGATCCGAGCTGCTTGTTTCTGTGTCTGTTAATTGATTCATTTGAGGCCGCCAGTGACCTCGATGGCGGCGCCATTCACATAGGCGGACTTCTGGGAGGCTAGGAAGGCAATTACCTCGGCGATTTCGTCGGGCTGGCCGAGGCGACCCAGGGGACAGCGCTGCACCACCTGCTGCTTGATCTTGTCCGGCACCACCGCCACCATCGGCGTGTCTATGTAGCCGGGCAGTATGCAATTGACGCGTATGCCGAACTTGCCAAACTCCTTGGAGGCCACCTCCGTGAAGGAGATGACGCCCGCCTTGGTGGCTGCATAGTTTGCCTGGCCCACATTGTTCAGACGCGCCACAATGCTGGACAGATTGACAATGCTGCAGTCGCTCAGCCGCTGCTCGATCATCGCCTTGGCGAACTGTTGCGTCACCAGGAACGTGCCCTTCAGATTCACGCTGTAAACGTCGTCGTAGTCGTGCTCCGGCATTTTCAGCATATAGCCGTCGCGCGTGATGCCCGCCGAGTTGACCACGATGCTGGGCGCCTGCTTGAACTGGGCCACTGCGGCGGATACCGCACTCTGCACGCTCTGCGCCGACGAGACGTCCACCTCGAGCGCGGCCGCACGGTCGGCGCCCAGCGCCTCGGCCGTCTCTTGCGCTGCCTGCAGATTGCGATCCGCGGCAATGACCTTGGCGCCATCACGTGCCAGTATGCGACAGGTGGCACGGCCAATGCCAGAGCCGGCGCCTGAAACGCGCAACAGGGTTCAAAGTTCGCTCAATTGGCTAGCAAACGCTGCTTTACGCTATACGCACCTGTCACGAATGCCACCTTGCCAGCCAGTAATCCACTTGCCATAATGCCTTTTAATTTACCTGTGCGTGTGAGTGCGGGGATTTGGGCAAACTAAATCTAATCAGGGCCACAGGCTTAGCGACACTCCAACGCGAGTAAACAACACGCCACTTGCGCAGCTCTCGATTTCAGTGTGACCAGAGCACTAAATGCTAATAAAGACATACATATCTATACTGATCAGCTGTTGAATATAGTGCGGGCCAGCTATTGATACGGAATGAAAACTTTATAGTTTCACATGTTTTAAATGCAATATATGTAAATTATAAGCATAAATACTATTCAATAATTAATTACAAATGTACATTTTTATTTATTACAGTTAAGTTACCGTTTCTCTTGTCTCTTTTCTATACAGCTGGAAAATATGCAATGGCTTGAGGGCGCATTTCGCTTGCTCCACACTTAACGAAACACCGGCCAACAAGACAATAACAGATTGGATTTTGGTTGATTAATAAATTATTAACATGTAAGTAATGTTTATTTGCACAAAATATAATACTAAATATATATAAAGGTAAATAAATAATTATATAAGTAAATTAAAATTTATATGTATATTAATAGCGAAATAATCTTAAGCGGATTTTAAAACATACTTTCAGGGGTCCACACAATTTGGAAGAAAATCATGGTCATTGTCATTGTCATTGTCATTGTCATTGTATTATATATATAATCAATTAACAAATCTTTATTCAGCATTTCATTTTATTCCAATGGTATTAGGTAATAGAGCTGTGGCTCCGCTACAATTTCAGGTTCCTGGAGTGTGCCGCTGCGGAAGCTGCCATCGCGCGCTAGTCCGAATTGCCTGAGCAGCTTCTTCAGGTAGCGCTTGGGTATGCGCACCAGCTGACGTTTTATGATGCGCTGCACCTTCTTCCAGGGGCGAGTGATGCCACGATGGTCGTCCTCATAGTCAGACGAGAGGTTTAGCTGCTGCATGAGCTGTTGCAGCTGAGACTCGCTCAGCTGGCTGAGATCCAGCTGTTGGAGTGGTTGCTCCTGTTCCAGCTCATCGTCGAGCCCCAACTCATTGCCGCTGATGGGTGAGCTGCTGCGCAGCCGCAGCTTCTGTGTGGCGCAGACGCAGCGGGCGGTGCTGGATCTGACTGCCAGCATGAGCAGCAATATCGCGAACAACCATAGTGAGGCACAGCGCATGGTGAACTCTTTTGGCTGGTGGCAGCATCAGCATGAGGCTTAAATAGCTCAGCGCCCGAGGGCGCCATTGCTGGAGGCTGGCTGAAGAGGCTTCGACATATCGAAATCATATTGAATTTGTGGGTCAAGTACTCTACGAAAGATTTCATTTATTCTGTTTGGCCAAAAGAAGAAGTGAGGCTTCAATTTAACATTAGCTACAATAAATTAGAAAAAAAAAATTGTTGTTTGTCGTTGTTCTGCTCGCGGGGTAGCGTGGGCGATGCTCGACTCTGTGGATTGCTGTTGAGCTCGCCCTCCCTCTCTGTCTCGCTCGGTGCTCGTATTGCTTAGGCAAGTGGGAGGCGTGGGCGCCTGTTCTTGTTCTTGCCCTTCTTGTTCTTGTTCTTGCCACCGCGACGACGATTGTTGAAGCGCTTGTTCTTGTTGTGGATACGCTTCCTGACCACGCGACGCTTGTTGGGCCTGTTCTTGGTGTTGAGCATGACCTTCTGGCCGTTCTTGAAGTAGCGTCGGTAGCGTGGTGGAATGCGCACACTGATCATCTGTCCCTGACCACGACGAGCACCCTTGCGGCGCAAATTGATGCGATTGTTTTGGCTGGCCTTGCTCTCGGTGGCGCCGGTATCGGACTGATCGCCATCAGTGAACACTTCGTACTCCTGGGCGCCCGCTGCGATGGCCGCCTGCAGGGCCTGTTCGTCGATCAACTCAGCGTTGGCGGCCATGGCAATGCCGCCGGCAGCTGGCTTGGCCTCCTCATCGGCTGCATCGGCCTCTGCCTGGTCGTCATCCTGCTGATCGAAGTATTGACGGGCCGCGGGCGATGTGGGCGAAGTGGGCGAAGTGGGCGATGTGGGCGAGGTTATGGTGCCCGTAGCCGAGGGCAAGGAGCCGGTTGACGACACTGTCAGGGTGGGGCTAGTGGGCGCAGAGCCACTGCCGGCTCCAGTTATTATAATGGGTATCACCGGCTGATTGTTGCTGCTGAACATGTTCTTGAACATGAGGAACTTCTTGAGGAAGAGGCGTCCGCTAGAGGGATCTTTGTTGTTGGCTGCCGTGCTGCTGGCTGCGCCGGCAACACCAGCAACACCAGCGACACCAGCGCCAGCTGCACCACTCAACTTATCCTTGTCAGCATTCTGTTCGAGAGCCAGAGCAGCGCTAGCATCGTTGGACCGGGCCAAGGCAGGCTCATTGAAGTAGGAGCCGCGACGAGCCTTCAGACCATGCGCAGGCTTCTCGGCCTGAGCCGTTAGGCAGAGCAGGCTGGCCAAGAGCAGCAAGGATGCGACTGGATGTTTCATCTTCGTTGTGAACTGTCGAAACTACTCGGCGATTGAGAACTTTTCGAACAGGAACCTGATTGCTGGTTGCGTGTTGCAGTTGACTGAGTGCCGAAATCCGAGTCGTGTGCTCGCACTGATTGGTAATCAATGTTTGATACATTATCGCGCAAATTGAATGCCTTTTATACCCGCATTGCCAGCAACACTTATGCAAATGCCGCTCGCCAAAATTCCATTGCGCGACTCGGCATCTAACTGTAAATGTGGCTAGGGAACGTATCTGCTTTGGCGTACGCGTACTTGTGCCTATCCAGAAATGTTCACAATTCACAATTGAATTGAATTCAATTTTTCGACCCTGTCGAAAAACGCTTGCAGCTATTTGAGCATGCCATGGCCATTGGCCAGCCAAATAGTTCTTCACCGTCATCGCCGCCGCTCGTTCTGCTTATCATCTCTCGACCTGCCCGGTCCAGTCCAAGTCGAGCGTTCAAGCATTGCGCTGTCGCTGTGCCTGCTTTCTACGCGCGTCCCCCCCCCCCCCCCCCCCATTACAATTGCGTCGCCCTTCGGCCCCTCCGGCAGCTCAATTGTCGCTGTCATCGCGCTCGCAGTTTAGTGCGAGTGCGAGCCGTAGCGATTCAGTGGCACGGCTTAAAAAGTGAAAACCAATTCAATTGCCAGAGCATCGAAACTGAGTTTCTAATTAGAGGCAAACGGGTGGAGGGTGCATGCCACTAGCTGAATGCCGCAGGCCAACTACTGTTCTCTATGCCTCTGCCAGTTCGATTGGCAACTGTATGCGCGTGACTCCATTCACCATGGAAGACAGAGAACACGCGAAAATTGAATGGAGGCTTGCGAGACTTCCCAAATAAATGTCCTGCATCGCCGAAGCACCAATTCCAATATTTAACAAGCTTTAAACCCGAACTGGAGGCCTCGCTGAATGTCAGACCTAAACGAAGGCTTTTACCAACTTTACAATGCCCATTCAAGTTGGAATCGACAAACATGCAACTTGCAGCCTGCTAAGTACTTTCATAGACATTATATCGAGTTGAAGGCTTAGAGGTATGCTCAGATCTCGTTCCTTCACTCTGCCTAACTCTGTGCCTTTGCTTGGTAGACATTTTAGTAACCAGAGCATAAAATGAAGACGGAATAATAATCTCTCGCTCTTTTTCCCTCTCTCTCTTTCTCTATCTCTTCTTCAACTTTCTCAGTGTCTTATCTCTTCATTTCTCAATCTCCCTCCCTCTATATCTCTTTCTCCCCGATCTCTATATCTTCAACACTCTCTTCAGTTCGCTCGTCTCTGCTCCCTTTCTATCATATTCCGAGATCCTTCTTCTTCTTCTTTGCGCTGTATATCGCTCCCGCACTCCCACTCTTGCAGATAAATTTCACATTCATAATATGCAATAAATTTCGATTTATTTCAGAGATTCGTTCGTCAAGTGTTGGCTGCATAGTTGAGCGATGGATCTAGTTGCGACGACGGTTCCTCCTCAGGCGACGTCTGGCGTTGCGGTTGCGATTCCTGATGCGACGGCGAGCATTGCGGTTTCTGAGATTGGAACGGCGACGCTGGTTCCTGCTGCGCATTAGCTGCTGCCTGCGGATTTGCTGGGCACGACGACGGTTCTGGATATTCTGGCGACGAAGGATCTCGATGCGTTCGCGCAGCTGCTTGTTCTCCTCGGCCTGGCGACGGATCTCGTACTCCTGGACAGTGAGGGCCTGGCCCGGGCGACCATTGCCGCGGCGGAACATGCTAACGCCGTTAAAGTTGGCCACGTCGTCGTCTTCATCATCGTTGGCGTTCAAATGCAGCTCGAAGCTATCGTCGTCGTCGCTGTCCCCGTAGATATCGTCGCTGACCTTATCATCGTCGTCCTCGGCATCGTAGCCACGGGGGACCACCACAGAACTTGGAACGGAGGGCGATATTATGATGTCCGAAGTTCCCGTAATCGATGAAGGCGATGGCGATATTGTTGTTATCGTTGGTGCGTTTTGAGCACAGTTGCCCTTGAACGACAACAGCTGCGAGAGGGTACGACCCTCAGCTTTTTGCTCGGGACTGCGCTTGAACAGGCGGTAACGGTGACCCGACTGATCCTCATCATCCTCCTGGCGTCCAACTGCGAATTGATAAGGTGTCTTAGCAGCGATTGGCTAACCTCTCTCTCGTTTTGGTAACTCACCTGCTGCGTTGGCCAAAACTGCTGCCGACAGCAACAGCAGTGCAAATCCCAGAAATCTCATGATGATTTGGTCTAAATACTAAATGTGAGTGTGTGTGTATGTGTGCGTGTGTGCGTGTGTGCGTGTGTGCGTGTCTTTATCCTGACGAGCTGTGGCTTCCGCTTGCTGCTTGCCTAAGGCAATATTGCTGCTCGACTGTGCCATTGTCAATGGCTTGCCAGGGTTATATACCCGAAGCGAAGCTCCAGTTGCCAACAACAAGAAAGGCAACAACTGTATCAACGCTTCTGCTAATAGTTCTCATTATCATTTTAGCATATTTGCAAAAATTCGCATAAATTGTTGCCAAAATCCCGCTCGCTCAGCTCACCGCCAGCGCCCTGATCGCGACATTCTATTCGCGCATGAACCAGATTGACCCAACCACAAAGTTCGCAATCAATATTTGCCTGTCAGACTCTAACAGACTCTCAGCTCAGACAATACTTAGTTAACAAATCGATCATCACTTTTCCACAAATATATGCACAAGCTAACGAATTAGGAGTTGTGAAACGCGATCGTATTTTGACAGCTGCCATTGGGTCATTCGACAAGGCTCAACAGACTGTACTGTTGTTATGCTCTGTGTAATGGGAGTAGCTCGTGGCAAGGCTAGGTTGTCAGCCTACAAATTGTTATATATATATATATATCTGATCTGCTTATCTGACTATTGATCTACTGCTGTGGCAGCTCTGCCAACTCTAGCTCAGTGCAGCAGCTGAAGCTATCTAGCCACATCAATTGACAAGGCAGATCAGCCCCAGCTGCTGCGGTTCCACCCAAGGAAAGGAAATTCTTCAAATATATTGTATGCTATGTAATTTCGAGAATGGGTTTCACAAAGATCGTTTGCATGTTATTCTGTCCGTGGGTTGGCGGCGTCTATGCGCGAATGCGCACGATATTCCTGTTCCTGTTCCTGTTGGCCTGACGGAAGCGCTTGAGCAGACGCAGGTTGCGGCGATTGTTGCGCCTGCGACGCTGCTGCTGCTGGCGCCTGCGTTGGCGCTGCTGCTGCTGACGAAGTTTCTGGCGACGACGCTGCATCGTCTGCTGCTGGCGGCGACGCTGCACCTGCTGCTGGCGCCTGAACTGTCTGCGTTGGCGCTTCAGAGATTCGGCCTGGCTGTGCTGTCTGCCGTACACAGCGTGACCCTCGTAGGCGGCCACATCGTCCATATCATCATCATCATTTTCATCATCGTCGTCTTCGAAGTCGAGCTGATAGTTGTGCGCCTCCTCGTCGTCATCAGCGTCATCAGCCAGTGTTGTGGGCACTGTAGGTGTAATGGTGGCGGTAGATGAGCCCGTTATTGAGCTTGGCGAGGTTGATATGGTGGTTGTGGTAGTGGGCTGTCCCTGTCCGAGTCCATTTGCACTTCCATTGCTAAGCGCACTCAGCACGGCTGCCAGCTTTGAGGGATTAAGGCGACCCTCCGCGGGCAGATCGTAGTCGTTGCGCTGGCGCTTGAACAGCTGATACTCCTCTCCACGCTTCTCGTGCTGCGGCTTGGCTGTAACAGAGTTCAAAGTTCAATGTGGGCTGTGTGCTGTTGGCACCGCCAGCTTGGCTGCTTGACTTACCGCTAGCCTGCAGCGCAACGGCTGCCAGGCAGGCTACGATCAGTAAACCCCTGAGCATATACATGTCCTTTGGCAATATATATTTATATTTTATTGTGAGTTCTGGATTTGTCTTGGATGCTTATCGCTGTCTGACTGACTTACAACGGCAGTCTGTGGCATATTTATATGCCCACTCTTACATCTGGGCCCTGTAACGTTCGACTAGGCCTAAAAGTTACATTGCCAAAAAAGAAAAAAATAAAAAAAAGCGATCAGATCAGTTCAGACGAGAGCAGAGCAATAGAAATTAGGGCTATGCTAGGGCCTAGCCAACGGTTGCCAAACCCTCTCCGACCGCCGGTTGTAAAACATTTAGCATAATCCCATAAATAACGCTAATGTTGACCCGGCACAACAACCTGCTAACCCCAGCCTCAGCTCGGTCCACGATCCCCAACATTTGCATAGCTGTGGCTGTAGCTGTAGCTGTATCTGCGAATCAAGATATACGATGCGCATTAGCATATTCATATGGTCGATGCTTTTGTTCTCGACCCAGCAGATATTGTGAGGTCTATCAGAGCCAAAGGGCGAAAGTGTAAGCAAAGTCAATGAACTGTGCCGCTTGGCACTGCGATCAGCATTTGCCTAAGCTGCAAATTGCAATTTCTAAATTCGATTTCAAGTCTCAGTTGATTCTGCGATGGATCAATGAGAAGGTTTGAGAAGATCTACGATGATGAAGAGAGAAGAGAATATAATTTTAATATATATCGACGAGTAATGCAAAGGCTTAGAGTTGAGGAATATTTCCTCTGGGCATGATCAGCTTAAATATTGTGGTTAGCTAAGGAAGGATCGTGAAGAGGAATGCAAAATAGGCTTCGGAAATTCATTCTTTCATGGCCTCTAAATTGAATTGAACTATGATCAGCTAGAGCCTAGTCGCTCAATGATCGCTGCCAAGCCCTCAGCTTGACTCCATCAATAACTTCAATATGTTTTGAAGAAAAAAAATGAATTTATTTTTTGCGCTCCTTGGAGGCCATTGCGTTTGCTCGTTACAGGGATTCGTTCAGTTGTGAGGCATATGGTGAAGCTGGTGTTGCGGCCTAGGCAGCAATGCGTCTCAGGCTGCGACCGCGTCCACGACGACGGCGGAGCAGCTGCTGCAGGCGACGACGGTTGAAACGCTGGCGACGACGCTGACGCTGCGCCTGGAGGCGACGTCTTTGCTCCAGATTGTTGCGACGGCGACGCTGACGCTGGTTCTTGGACCTGTTCCTGTTGCGACGATTGCGGTTGGCGGCGCGACGACGATTCTGCTGCTGGATGCGCCGCAGGCGCTGGTTATTGCGGCGCTGCGATATGCGCTGGCGACGCACCAGCTCGCGAATGCGCTGATTGTGCTCACGCTGCAGGCGATTCAGGCGTCGGCGATTGCGCTGTTCCAGCTGGTATTGGCGCCACTGCTGCTCCGAGGGGCGACGCACATAGCCATCGGCGACAGCTACAGCAGCGCCAGCTGCTGGCTTTTCGACGGCACCGGCTCCGGCGGCCAGCATATAGTAGTCACCATCATCGTCATCGTCATCATTGTCGGCATCGTCTTCGTCGCTGGGGGCGCTGCTGTCGTCCTCCTCGTCATCGTCGAGATCGTCGTTGTAGGCGCGCGCATGGCCATTGTCCTCATCATCGGCCAATTCGGGAACATCTTCGCCGAAGGCACGCGACGCGGGCACTAGTGTTGTCGTCGGTGATGTGGGCGAAGTGGGCGAAGTGGGCGTTGGGGGCGACGTCAAAAGGTTCGTGGGGGTGGTTGGCGAGGTTGGCCCTGTGGTAATGGTGGTGTACGGCTCGGTGGTTGTAGTTGAGCTGCCCTTCAGATTGTTCAGCTTGTTCAACATGGACGAGGTGAATCGGCCCTCAGCCACAACCTGATCGCCGCGTCCCGCAGAACGCAGACCCAAGCGATAGTTGGCGCCATGACGTTCACCTGCAATAAAGACGAGAGTCTAGAGTGCGCTAACTCCTAGGGCCGACGGCCGGCGGTTGTTGGTACTTACCGAACGCCTCTGGCGGCGATAGCAGAGCGCATAGCGCCACCGCCAGTATCAATTGTGGCAGGCAGTGCATGGTAAGAGCAAATCAAGAATGGGAATAGTCAAGTGTTTTTCCTTGCAGGATGTGTGAGAAGGAGTTGTAAAACGACTGAGACTGGGCACTTGTTGGCTCTGAGCTGGCACTCGCCACTGACTGACTCCAACTGGGCGCTCCACGATTATATACCCAACAGCTAAGTATTCTAGTCGGGAGTGTTGATGAATTACTATAATACCCCACGCCCCCGGGCCCCCGAGGCTGCCCTCCTCTCGCCCAGATCGCCAACTATGCCCAGCCACACGGTGCGATTAATCTCAACATTGCCTCGGGCAGGTCAAAGTGAAGAGGCCAATGTATCCGCTGGATAGACCTATTGCCGTTTTCGCCTTAACTTTTATGCTAATGCTAATTTACAGCAATACAGAGTGTAAGCCACTGCGAGAACAGTGCGCTGCGAGCTCCCTCTGTGGCAGCGACTAGCGTCCAATATGATTGATTATCTGTTTTTGTATTTGAACTCTTAACTGTGCCAAGCGACGACCCGCCGAAGAGTACACGGCTCGAAGTGTTTTGCGGCCCCGGCTGAGAGCCAAAATAGTTTTCGAAAATCAACTTCTTTCTCTTTGCGTCTATTGTTCTAGCTCCTCACCTGGTAATAGTTGCAGTTTCCGCTGCTTTTTCCATCACTTTAGCCAATTTCATTTTGCAATTATCAATTTCTGGTCATAATCAGGTGCTTTTGCTAACAATCCGTATGCTGGACTCGTAGACAGGTTTTGAATACGGTCTTTAATGAATATAAATCAGCATTGAAATAGGCTCCGCAAGCAGAGAAGAATAAAGCATGGGAAAACAAGGCGTTAAACCTAATCAACAACAAAAGCCAGCCAAGCTGGAGTATTCTAACTTAAGTTACAAATATTGTCAACTTCCAAAGAGTCCCAAAAATGATTGCATAACGGAGCCAGGGCTCAACCTCACCAACAACGTGAGTGACGATCTCAGTGCAGAGAGCCAACTGCCACTTAGCAACCTGGAAGTTAAGCGTGGCCACTTGCCTAGCTCAATGCATAACTAGCTTATCTAACTTATCTATCCTTTAATTTCCTCTCAATTATATTGGCAGGAGTGCCAAATGGGAGTAGCTTACTCTAAAGACAGTTTGTTGCCTTATACTGACTATAGCGAGGATATATTGTATGTGTGAGAAACATGACTTGAGTTTAGCGGGAGCTAAGGCTAAGATCTAGAGAGGTATAGATGCCTCTAGAACTCCTTAGATAATAATAGACAATAGGTCTAAGGTTTAAAGTCTAGAGAGGTCTATTATCTGTAGCTCTAGAGGGGTCTACTGTCCTAATGCAAGTTCGAGAGGGCTCTGCACTGTTAAAGCAGGGTCTAGAGGGGTCTATGATCTCAAGGTCTACAGTCTAAAGTCCACTTCTAGAAGGCTTTTCAGTATGAAGGCTAGTTCTAGAGTGGTCCATTATCTTAAGGGTAGAGGGGTCTATTGACTAAAGGCAAGGTCCAGAGGGGTCTACAGTATTAAGACAAGATCTATAGGCCAAGTACCTTTGCTGTCTCAACTTTTCTAGTCTGTTTCAGGCTCTTTTGCTGTAGTTGAGCTTCCGTAAAGGACTCTGTGTATGACGCGCATCTCCTAAGCAGTTTCGACTGTACCGAGGTACAGCTTTTTATGACAGATCATTGATGCAAGCAAAGAGACCACAATAAACAAAGACTCATCATCTGATGGAAGCAATGAGCTCGGAGATTGTATGAGCATCGACTTTAGTATAGTCCAAATCAGCTACGACAAAAATCTACAGTAACAATCTTTTCTATATAGGTGATCGAAAGGTGTACCAAAATGAAAAAGGTGTAAGGACTATCCGACTAGGAGCTACCCCGAATCTGCAAAAAGCTGACATTGCAATCATTACGCTCAATAGTTGAATGTCTTTACTTGCAGTTAGAAGATGTCTTAATAGATTTTCCCATTCTCTAAGGAATTCAGGGTATAGAGGGTGCGCACTGTCTAAAGGGGCACGAAGTTACCCGCTTAGTCGAGCTTAGTCAACCAAAACCATAAACACATATGAAGCAATAAATATGAACAGCCAATAGAAACCTGCAAAACAATGTTAAGTATGTTTGGTATGATTCAGCAGAGGCTAAGCTCGTGCTGTGAGGTCTTCAGCTCAAGCGAGGGTTCAAGTTGCTAGAATATCGCGCATACGCAACATGGCCGGCAGCTGCTCAAAGATTTGGGTCAAACCAACCTGAAATGCTGCGAAGCTAGAAGAACAACAAAAATGCAAATCAAAATAAAGAACGGGCCGCAGGCAATTAAAAGAAATACGCTTTGGAGGCATTTATTGAAATGAGCTAAAAACAAGCAACAGAATAGAATTTGAGCTAATGAATAGACCTAAGCGAAAGAGGCAGCAAAGAGTAGAAAGAAATCTTAGTATAAGAGTTAATATTCATAATTAATAATATAATGAGATAAAGACGTGATACTTCGCTTCGATAGGAATTCAGAAACTAGGCCAAACTAATTTGCAGACAAAGCGAATGAAGGAAGTCAGGAAAAACGCAGTTTTCATTTGTTTTCATATCACATTTTTATTATTTTCGAATCGTTTTCAAATGGTCGCAAGTGCTGTGGGTCCTGTTTGGCTCTTAACTATAATACTAGGGAGTTGCTGCTTGCCAGCCGGTTGGGCTCTAGCCCTGGAAGCCGGCACGACGGCGCTGGCCGCCGCGTCGCCGATTGCCGCCGGCTTGAATGACGCGCACGTTGCGACGGTTGCCGCGTCGGCGACGGCCACCGGCGCGACGACGGACCGGGCGGCCGCCGCGACGACGTCGCTGGACATTGCGGCGTCCGCCGTTCTTGCGGCGGCGCACAATGACACGATTGGCGCGCTCCTCGCCGACGCTTGCGTCGCCGGCTGAGCGCTCCATGAGGGCGACAACGGCGCCATCGGGAATGGCATCGAGAGCGGCGCGTGGCACTAGCAGCGCAGCCTTGCCGGTCTTCTCGTCGACGACGCTTTGGCCCTCGATCTCGATGATGCCATCGGGCACCATGATGGCGCCGGCCTGATCTCTGGCCACCATCATCTGTGTGGGCTTGGCGTTCTTCAGCAGCTGCTGGCCGCTAACGCCGGACGCCTTGCGCGCCGGACTCGACTTGGCCATCATCACGGGCAGATGTGTGTCCTCCTCGTCATCGTCGTCCTGCTCATCGTCGTCATCATTGAGCAGCACAATGTGGCCGTTGCGTGCGAAGCCGCGCTGCAACGGCAGCTCAAACTCCACATCGTCATCGTCATCGGCCATCTGCTGATCATCATCGTCGTCGTCGTCGTCCAAATTGTGCTGCAGGCGTCGCAGTGGCATTTTGTTATCATTATTATTATCATCATCATCATCATCGTCAGCATCACTCTCCACATCGTCGAGATCCTCAACAACCTCGAAGCCCTGCACCACGGCGCCAGCATTGGCGCGTCCCCGTGGCACGCTAAAGAACAGATACGGATGCTGCAGCTTCTGCTGCTGCTGGCGCAATTGTCGCTGTTGTAGGCGTGCCTCTGCAATGGGATAATGGAGGTTCAATTGATAAAGTGGGTGGGCCCAGTGCTGTAATCACTTACCTGGCAGGGCCATGGCCAGGGCCAGCAGGCAGCTGAGCACGAATAGGGCGCTTAGCTTCGACATGGTTTAGCTTTGATTCCTGTCAACAGAATCTGTGCGCTGCGCTGCGTATAGTGTCCTACCTAATTGTAAGCAAAGTTCCAGAGAACTGTACAGAATCTCTGGACGTCGCCAGGTTTTTATGCAAAAAGCTCCCGCAAACTCTGTCGGCTCGAGCAGCGCGCCACTGGAAAACAAACAAACGAAAGAAATTAGAAGAAAACAAAAGCAAAAAAATATAAAAAATGTATAAAATAAAAAAGCCGAAACAGAAGAGCCGAAACCCAAAAAGCAAAACAGATGAAACGAAACCAAGAAACTCTGCCAACCAACTAAAGAATCATTCTAGACATCCGCTCACATCGAGCCGTCGCCCAGCCAAAAAAAAAAAAATCTATAAAAAATAGAGAATCGAAGAGAATCACAGATAGTTTTGGACATTGACATAATTACGTCCATGGAATGGCACCCGCTGAACCTACAGCTGCGGCAGCGGCAGCGGCATCCATTTCGAAGTCGTCGGCATAAATTCAAGTGCCGAAATTGGTTGGTGAAAAGATGGCCAAATGCTGATCAAAGTTCACTGACCGCAGCAGGAACAAAAGCCGCCTCTCGCTCGAGAACCAAAAGCCAACTCAATTGACCGCAACAGCGCCCCAATCAAAATGAAGAACGCAAAAAGAAAAGGCCAAAAGAGAAAAAGCCAAATAGCAAACAGCAGCCAGAAATACGAAACCGTCCACGGCGAACTGCCGAAGTTGAACTTCGTTACGCTAATGAGAATACAATCGCAGATACGTGAACCCTGTCCCCAGCCAGCCAAGCACTTAACCAAGCCCACTGCCCTTCTGCCCACAGCTCACTGCTTACTACAGTGGTTAGTGGCAAGTGGCAAGTGGCGAACCAGCCAGCGACGCATGGCAACTGCTCTAAGCTCGGCCTGACCGCTCGGTCATATACTCAAGTGCGACCCAAGACCTGGCCTCAACGCAGCTGCCCCCGATTCGTAGCTCTGAACAGTTCAAGCTAGATTAGCTAGCGTCGCTTAAACGGGTATACGTGACCACCTCTTGCTCTGTTACATTGACTGCTGCATTTCTTTTGCCTGAAATATACAGCGTGTCCTATGTGGAACAACTCGTAGATACCCTGTAGTTAGCAATCACATAGAAATCGAGAATGTAGTTGGAATATGTCACATGCTGTGGTGGCATGTGCATATTTCTTGCCTGAAACAGACTTGTCGTGTCAGTAACGACTAGCAGATGCCCTGTAACTAACCATCGGAGGTCATGCAGCTGAATCTATGCCTTGCAGCAAGTTTTGTCGTAGATTAGGCACACTCTGGTGGGATATTCATGTCTTTTTGTTGTATTAGCAACAACTAGTAGATACCCTGTAACTAGCCACAAGAGAGCATACAGCTGGATCTATGCCTTGCAGCATGTTTGTTGTAGATTTGCCACACATCTCTTGTCTAAAACAGACTTTTGTCGTGTCAGTAACGACTGGTAGATACCCTGTAACTAACCATCGGAGGTCATGCAGCTGAATCTATGCCTTGCAGCAAGTTTTATCGTAGATTAGGCACACTCTGGTGGGGTATTCATGTCTTTTTGTTGTATTAGCAACAACTAGTAGATACCCTGTAACTAGCCACAAGAGAGCATACAGCTGGATCTATGCCTTGCAGCATGTTTGTTGTAGATTTGCCACACATCTCTTGCCTGAAACAGACTTGTCGTGTCAGTAACGACTAGCAGATGCCCTGTAACTAACCATCGGAGGTCATGCAGCTGAATCTATGTCTATGCAGCAAGTTTTGTCGTAGATTAGGCACACTCTGGTGGGGTATTCATGTCTCTTACCTTAAGCATACGTTTGTTGTATTAGCAACAACTAGTAGATACCCTGTAACTATCCACAAGAGAGCATACAGCTGGATCTATGCCTTGCAGCAAGTTTTGTCGTAGATTAGGCACACTCTGGTGCGGTATTCATGTCTTTTTGTTGTATTAGCAACAACTAGTAGATACCCTGTAACTAGCCACAAGAGAGCATACAGCTGGATCTATGCCTTGCAGCATGTTTATTGTAGATTTGCCACACATCTCTTGTCTAAAACAGACTTTTGTCGTGTCAGTAACGACTGGTAGATACCCTGTAACTAACAATCAGCTAGCACACAGCCGAGGTCTGCACACTCTCACGAGTCTTAGCTGTAACATGCCTTTGTCGTGTCAGCAACGACTAGCAGATACCCTGTAGTTACTAGACCCACTCGAATGGGATCTCCATTGCCTGAAAGATGCCTTTGTCGTGTCAGCAAAAGGTATAAAACTGGGCGTGGTTCTGGACTGTGTTTTCGTGTTTATAAAGACACTGAGCACCTGATTCTCAGTTCGTAGCGCAAGCATGCCATGTGAACCAGTCGCACCACAAAGTCTCGCCTGAAAAAGAAAAAAGCCACAAAACGAATTGAATTGGTTCATCAGTTTATTCTCTTAATGACAGCTGCAGTAGAGAACTAGCTAGAAAAGCTATGGTCATGGGCAGCACACGATTTTGAGCTCCTGACTTGGAATCTTTGGGCATACGGAGAGCCGTTTGATAGATAAGCGCACAGCTTGGGCCTGAGGCTCATCTAGTTTTGAGAATGCTTCATCCAACTCGGCGGCATCAACTGAATGGAGTCATTTATAATCGCTAGCAATTGGGTCGTGGAGGTCAAGAAGGTGGCGAGCAGTATCCAGCACTTGAAGCACGTGATGGACCTCTGCTCCCAGTTGCAGTGCATGAAGCCCGTATTGAAGGCAAAGACCAGCGCCGTCATTAGCAGTATAAACGAGAGCAGGCCGCAGACGCGATGAACGATGGGCACTTCCGGCTCCCAGTAGTTGGTCCGACATATCATATACATGCCCGTGACGCAGGTGGCCAGCAGCAGGATGCAGGCGGCCAATCCGAATATGCTGTGGTTGCTCCGAAAGTGCCTTGGAGTGCCGCGTGACTTCCGCTGCTTGTACATGATCTGGGCGCCAACGCCCAAGCAGGCGATCACAACGCTGATCAGGCCAAAGGCCATGTGCAGCAACGCCTGCTCCAAGATGAGCGCCTCGCTGGCACATATAACCACGCCCACAATGAAGTAGAAGGCGTGCCCCGCCGTCCTCGCCAGCTTTAGCTTGAGGCACTTGCGCGCAATAACCGCTATGACAAGGATTATGATTATGTTCGCACCGATGTCTATCAGAGTCGAAAAGAAATCCGCCGGCAGACCAGGCCACTCGAAGCTCTTCACAATCTCGCCTGTTGCATTGACCTCCGTTTCGTTCGGCTCAACCAGCTCGATTGCCATTTTCGCAACTCAACTCATGTGCGCATAGACATATACATATACGCGTGTCTATACGTGTATGGGCACATATATATACACACACATACACATCTGTCTACAAAGGAATGCTCTATATGTACATATATATATATGTGTATATATCCAATTATATAAATGTGCACATATATATGTATATATACATATATATATATATAGATATAGATATTGTTAAGTGTGCGTTAAACGTGTCTAAATGTGTTAAGTGTTGATTGTGTAGTAAGCAAAACGTATGTGATTTCCTAGTCTAGCAAATCTTGTGATGTTTCTAGCGATACTCGCTCAGTATGTGCGCAGAGTATATTGGCTTGCAGCAGTGCCAAGCGACATAGCTTGAGGTAGCACTAAGCCTTGATCAGCGTCAAGCAAATGATTCAGAAGCCTTACAGGCCAGCTTAAGCTATGTCTAGCAAAGACTTAGAGCTGCTCAGATTCTCTATGGTCATACCTCTAGCTTTTCGCTTGTCATACTTATATTATATATTATTTTTATTATCAGATCCATATTGAGCTCCTGCCGGCAGCCAAAGCGCGCGACAGTTCTGCTTGCCTCGTTATCAAAGCAATGGCGTTGCCACCTTCAGGCAATCGTCAAGGCTTTGGCCTCTAGGTGTTGCTGAGTACCGCTACACGGCTTTAAGAGACGTCAGAAATTTCGAAAATATTCTCATTTGAATCGTTGTTTCAGTATGCAACAATCCTGCTGATGGCCTCAACAGCTTTCCCCAAACTCCCAACCAACTAACACAAATGAGATTCGAATGATGTCGCAGTCTTCAGCGATTTATGCTACAATGTTGTACTGCTATTAATGAACAGATGTGGCTCAGCTCGTGTTCCGTTTCAGCATTTCCATATCAATCAGTCGCTTAGGCAAAGCACACATCAAACATAGATACACTTCATCCAGCTCAAGCACAAATACATATTCTTGCTCGAAATGCCAAGTTCAGCTTAGTTCAACTGCCCATTAGGCTCACAGCTTGATGGATGATTCGAATGAATGAATCGACACATATCTATATTTATTTTTATATCTATATAAGCACTTGTACCCTATGCAGATCATTAGAGAGAAGTTATTTTTAGGAAAATGTAAGTTTATCTGTAAGCGAAATGTTTCTAGTGTATGAGAATGAAAGAATTAAAACATGGACACAAGGCGAGTAACAGTTTAGCACAGATCGCTGTAGCTGATGTATGATGTGAGATGTAGATAGTCAAGCTGCAGGTTGAAGCTTAAGAATAAGGATTTAAAATATGAAAATGTGAATTCCTCAAGCAATGATGAGTGGCTTGCTGCCTCACTGACTTGAGACTTTAAGCCATAGACAAAGAACAGAAAATGGTGAACTCGAATGCATAACAAACTCTATTACCCTCAATCTTTTGCCCCAGCAAAGCAGCACAGCGATCTAGCTGGTTGTCTAAGTAGATCTCTCTGCGTAGCTGAGCTTGAGCCGTAATAAAAGTATTGTAGCTTTTTTCGAACTGTGCCATAAAACTCAATCGAGAGCTGCAAATGTGAAATGAATAAAAGAATTCCTGAAGCTGCAAATAGACAAATGAAATTAATATAATTGAGAAAAAAGAACCAACGAAATATGTTAATTTTGTGCAAATTTATTGAGTCGAAGAGATCATTTAGACATTGTGAGCTGCTGCACTGCTCGCTCAAGGGGGTCACATACCAACTGAGTCGCAGGTGAGAGCGACAGAATCCGCATAACAACGGGTCAAACAGAATTGAAGAAAACTGCGAAATGAAATTTCTTTAAAGGAATTAGCATAAACATCTGACAGAGAGAGAGACAGAAGAAGTGGGGGGTCTGGCAAAAGTTCAACGGTGTCAAATGTCAAAGCTGCAAAACACATGCCGCGCATGGTAATGGGAATGGATTGAATTGGACATTGAATGAGACGAGACGAGCCTAGGCAGCGGGCAGCGGGCAGCGGGCAGCGTGGCAGTGCCTCATAAATCGATTCATGTTTGAGGGAGAAATCGGAATTGGACCTGGAGCAACTTGTGTTCTTAGCTTCGGCCTGCTGCTGCTGACTTGGCCAAGTTGAAAGTTCAACGCACGCGACAAGCAAACAAACAACCCAATGGCCAACAACAATGGGCCGAACGTATTTCTCTCTCCCCTCTTCTCTCTGTCGCTTTGCGGCTCTTTCTTTTTACGGCTTGTTGTGTGGTTTGCACATTGAATGGAAATTAGATGTGAAATCAGGCAGCTAATTTGGCAGCAGGGCCAAGAGTTGAACTTTAAGCAGATGCAAATTTGAAGAAATTCAAATGAAATTATGAATTTCTTTGCCGCTGTTTACGGTTAGGGCACAGAGCCTGGCCTGGCCTGGCCCAAGCTTTTGGGAATTTCTAATGGCGCATGGCGCATATTTTAGCCAACATCGATCGCCACTTGCTGCCACTTAACTGATCATTCACCCCGCAACCGCAGGGCATCATTAATTGAGAGGCCTTAACCGCCCCAGGGGCGTTTAGTTGTCATCATCAGCGTCGACAGCGGCTTCAGCACGATTGTCTTTTGGGGCCCCGGCTATCATCCGACATTCAATTTGAGTCTTGCAACTGGCCGTGACGAATGATGCTGTCAACTGCGTCTTTGTCGCGCCATCGCCAACGCCGTTGCCAACGCCGTTGCCACCGCCTTCCAGCTGGAGAGCTCGCATGTTGCCCTAATAATGTCCCATTGATTGCTCCAACAATTTGCCGCACTTAGCATGATTATGCAAATTTTCAGCAGTACCTCAGCCGAGCGCTCCAGCGGGCCCCGGGCCATGTCCAACTCGAGTGCCAGGCGGCAGCTTCTCGTTCCATTTTACATTATCATGCGCCAAGTGGGAGCCAGTGATTGAATGCTTCTCAGCTAGTTGCCCCTAGGTGCTAAAGCTGAAATATATTGTTGTTATTGTTGTTCTATTTGCGTGTCTATGTGTGTGTGTGTGTGTGTTTCTCTATCTGTAGGTGTGCGTGTGCGTGTGTGTGTGTTAAGTGCCGACATCAACACCGCAACCGAGACCTTTCGTAGCCGCTGCTCTAAGTGGGAAGTGATTATCCCGTAATGGAAAGCCCTGAGAACTGTGCAACAAACATTTGCCGCATACAAATGGCTCAAGACTCATTTCCCCGACAGATCAAAGCTCTCAGCTGAGATCTTAATTGCGGCTTGCCCAAAGTACAATCAATCTTAATTATTTCTATCAATCGCTTTCATTATCTCGATGCCTACAAGCGTCTCCAATGCTCACTCTATGCTTTCTATGGGGTATACACTTTTTGACTATCTTCGAATATTTCTCTAAATTTTTTGCTGCAACAAAATAACTGTGAAAAGTGTTAATCTACTGTCAAAACTTTATATGAAGACTGAACTTTTGCTCGATTGAAAGCTGCCTGCTACAGCACGCAGCAGTTGAGCAGCTATGCAGCTGGCTGCTATGCAACGCGGCCAGAGCCAAGAACAAGCTCAGACGTGCAGAAGCTAACTTCTATGAGGGTATCCTTGAACTGCACAGCTGCCTGCTATAAAACTAGCGCTTGCCCTAGCAACTAGCTATTTGTCTTGCGCTCTGAGTGCGCCCATAAAATATCAAGTATACGCAGTGAAGCGCTGTGGAATTAGTTTGATCTTTCTGGCTTATGCAAATGCCTGGAATTGTTAATGCAAAATACCGTTAAGCGCTATTTCTTATATGCCACATTAACACATATGTATGTGTGTATGTGCGACCTGACATTCTTTCGGCTCAGCGGCCCATTAAATCGGTCAAAGCGCGCGCGCACCTAATCAATATGCAAAACTGCGACCCGGGTCAACGCACGACGATTAACGGCATTAATTATGAATGGCAATCAAGAATTTGGACACATAACAAAAATAGAAAAAAAAAAAAACTAAGACAATGTTTAAAATATTTGATTTTCGTGTCAGTTGCCGTTGCGGAGTTCACGTCGGGCTCACAGCGATTAGCATTCAATTTGGGATGCTTCTGGGACTGAGAGCGAGTGATGAACTCTGCTCTGCACACACACGCACACACACACACACACACAGTCATACACACACACACACTCTCACACAAGAACAAGAAAAAAAATGTAAAAAAAATTTATTCTTTTTTTCACTCGATTGAAAATCATTTTTTGGGGTATTTTGTAAGATTTCGTTTCATTTCATTTCGTATTTTCTTTTTCTTTGCTTTTCGCATTTCGCAATTATCAGTTTGTGCTCTCGTTAAAAAAAAACTAGACCTGGTCAGTGGGCGCGCTCACGGCCTCCGACTCAAGGGCACGACCCGCCTTGCGCAGCGCAAAGCGACGATTCTGATGCAGCAGATCGAAGTAGGGCTGGAAGTCGCCGTAGGACACGTAACGTGCATCGCCGTACACGGGCTGCACGTGGCGCGAGACGCCGGGCTCGTTGTCCTCGCCCACAATGATGAACTCCTGCTCGGGCGTGGCTGGCACCGCGTCCATGGCCATTTCGGCGGCGGCGGGCGCTGCTTCAGCCGTGGCCTTGTCGGCCTGCTCCTTCTGGGCGTCGGCGGCTTGGGCTTGAGCTTGGGGCTTCTCGGCGTTGTCCACGGCGGGCGCCTTCTCCACAATTGTGGCGGGACGTATGCGTGTGGGCAGCAGGCTGGAGCCGGAGCCAGCCTGAACTGGCTTGGCAGCGATCAGCACAGGCTTGGGCTTCGGCTTGACGCTCGAGGTGGAGCCGGTACGCGATGGGGGAATCTGTGGTGGCTGGAAGATGTCCATGAGCGAGGCATCGGCCAGCAACGGCACTGCTGCAGCCGTCAATGTCGGACGCTTGCGTTTCTTCTGCTGCCCCGTTGCTGTCGTGGAGCCGCGCACGGGCACGCTGCTAACGGCGCTCTCGGGTATGTTGAGGATCAGCGGCTGCGCCTGGATGCCTTCGGCTAGCGACACAACCGACTGGCGATCGGGGGCCGAGAGACCCAGCTGACTCCAGGGTATCGTGATGTATTGAGTGGGGCGGCCCTTGCGGCGCAGCGGCACGGTGAGTGGCGGCTGTGGATAGGGGCTGACGGGCAGGCGCTGATGCTGCTTCTGCACTTTGGTGGGTTGGGACACGTAGCCGTAGTTGGGGTAGTTGGGGCTCAGATTGAGCAGCTCGGGCGCCACATAAACCGTCTGGCCGTTGCGATTCACCAACAGCGTGGTCTGCTGTGGGCGGCGTGCACCTGCTCGGATGGGGTTCTGGCTGGCCTGCGATTGGCGTATCTTGGCGCCGACCTCGCCGGGCGTTTGCCCGAAGGTGAATCTGCGTATCTGATTGATCAGATTCGCTTGGCCGCTTTGAATGAAGCCGGGCTGACTCTGGGACTTGCGCGAGGACTGAGTATAGATGACCGGCTCGAAGGTCTCTTCATTGTCGCTGTCATCGTCATTCTCCAGCTCCACCTCTGCATCGTCATCCTCCTCCTCGTCGTCGGCCTGCGCCACCACCGCGAGCGGCTGCCTTATCGGCTGCGTCTGCTGATGCTGCTGCTTGCGTCGCACCACCTGCGTCTGGGCGGGTCGGCGGCGCTGCTTGGGCTTCTGCGTTTGTGTTTGCTCCTCAGCGGACTGCTGGTCATCGTCATCGTCTTCCTCGTCGACCTGCTCCAGCGATTGGTCATCGTCGTCGTTGTGCACCTGTTCGTTCACCTCTTGGTCATCATCATCATAAAACTCGTCGTAGCGATTGCCATTGAAGTAATCCACGTCATCGTACTCCTCCAGCGATTCCAGCGAGTCCAGATGATTGTCGAAGCGATTGGGACGCTGGACACGATTCACATTGCCATTGCGATTGCCGTTGCGATTGCCATTGCGATTGCCGTTGCGATTGCCGTTGCGGTTGTTGTTGCCGACTCCGTTCAGGTTGCCATTGCCATTGCCATTGCCATTGCCGCGTCTTCTGTTTGGACGCTGCTGCAGCCGGACAACAATGTCGGGTCGCTGGGTGGTGCTGGTGGTGCTGCTGGCACTGTCACGGACAGGCGTATCCACGAGGGCGGGCAGACCGGGCAAGGAGGGCAGCTGCTGGCCGGCAGCGGCCAGACGATCATTGAACCAGCCGGACACAGAGCCAGCCAGCGTCGAGAAGGAGGAGCCCAGGCCCTGGCCCGGATTCATGCCGAACAGCCAGGTGCCGGGCGAGGTGGACGTGGTCGAGCCGCTGCCGCCAGCCGGCGTTGCCTGTTTGCCCTGCGCCTGCATCTCCTCAGGCGTGGCCTGACGTGGCTTGAATGCGATCAGCGGATGAATGATGAAGTCGGCGACGGTGTGCGGCTGGGCAGACTTCTCGTCCGACAGCTCCGCCTTGGCAGCTGGCATTTCGCTGGCCGCAGCTGCGGGCGATGCCTCCGCCTGCGCCACTGGCGGCTTCTCGGTGGGCAGCTTGGGCACCACGGGCGCATCCTCTGCAGCCACAAACACAAACACGCGCACAGAAAAAAAAAAACACATGAAAAAAATAAGTAAAACACATGACATTAGCTTGTCTCAGGAAGCGGCTCGATTTTTTGGGGTTTGTCTGTTGCCTACCAATCAGCGCCATGTCCGCAATGGGCGACTCCGTGGATTGCTCGATGGCCAGCGGCGACGACGACGACTCCTTGTCGGCGACCTTGACCTCAGCACCGGCCGCGGCAGCGGCCAGGACCAGCACCAGGCCGAGGCGCAAAAACAGCGCCAGAAATTTGGTCATGTCTACGGCAGCCAGAAGACACTCACTCACACTCACTCACACACGCTCGCACTCGCACACTCTAGCAGACAGTCGCTCTCACACACACAGGCAGCACAGTTATCGTTAATCGTTGCAGTTATCGTTTCTTCTTGTTTTTATTGTTCGTCTTGAATTTTGATTGCTCGCCTCCGTACGCTTCGCTGTGGTCCAGAGACAGACGTTTCTTTTGGCCAACTGTTTGAGCGTGCGCGCCGTCTCGAGCTTTTTATGTACCAGCTACAATTTGTCCAAGAGCGCAGCAGCTGGCCAGAGAGCAAGCGCACAGAGAGCGAGTGAGAGAGCGAGTGAGAGAGAGCGAGCGAGCTTGCTGAACTGCCTTTGGCTGGCACTGATCGCCGTTGGTTGCCGCTGGGCGGTAAATTAATTTAGCGTATGTTGAACCGCGGGTCACACAGCGTTGACCCGGCTGCTGACCTAACCAGTTCATTGAACACGGAACTAGTTCAACAACTTGCCAGAGATCTAATCGCTGATGGCAGCTCTGACTGAGTCTTTCTCTATCTCTTGGCAACTACTCTAACTCTACGGTTATATATTATATATACAATCATCTGTTCATATTTAAAATATTTTATTTTCCTTGCTGTTTACAGGGTATTTCATAGTCAAGCTTTCTGCGTAACATTCCAGTTCCAGTTTTAGTTTCAATTGTTCTCTATGCTCAGCAGCATAGGTTGGATTTGCGCGTGCTCAGCCGCTCATACGAACTAGTTCCGCATCAGTTCCAGCTTAAGCTTTTTCGTGACAACAAAGTAAAAAGCTTCCAGCTCAGGTGATCGAAGCTTGATTAATTAAATAACAGTTCGATTGGATTCGAAAAAGAATTAAGCAATTTGCATAGTTCAGAGGGAATTAATTCGTCTTACGATTGGGCTAAATGCTGACACCGATATTTGTATCAGTTCACGAGAATTCGGAGTCGAAAACAGATATAAAAAAAATAAAAGAACTTTCCAATAACTTTCTAACAGCTTTGACCCCGTCATGACCTCACGGCGGGTCGCAACTTTCTTCTAGGGCCACAGGCAAGCCGCACACACATGCACACACACTCACACACACACACGCACACATGCTTAATGAGTATTTATGCGTTTTTTATGTATTCCCATTAGCATAAGGCTGGCACTTTTTTCTCCCGATTTCAGGTCCAGGTGCGCAAGCCCAAGCCCAGGGCCTGCCAGCGACTGTCCGGCCGACTAATGAACAGCTTGCGTCTTGGCGCGCCTTTGCTTTAATCTATGGGCCGAGCTCGGTTCGCGGTTCTCTTTTGCATAATTTAGTTATTAACAATTGGTTTATGTTCCTCATAATGGGCCAAAAACAAACCGAAAATACATATTTTCACCGGCGACGCGGCGAGATAAGCCCGAAGTCTGCACGGCCGACGATGTTTGTGAATTATTGACGTGGCTTTTGGGCGAACAAAACGCAAAATGAAAGAAAGAAGAAGATGAAATAGATTCGCACATAAACATAATACATTGCTCTGGCGTCTAGGGGCGTCTAGGGGCGTGGCAGCGAAAGCAGCGGCGAACCAGGCAGCTGGGAACGGGCACGCCATCCAGAGCTCAGCGCCCAGAGCCCAGAGCCCAGATCAGTCGAAAATTAATGACTCCAACTAATTTGATCTATGCAAACACAATGTGGACCCGAATAGCAAATCATTCACAATCAATTGGACTTGCCTAAAACAAAGATCTCAAGAAGCCAAACAATCTAAGAGCTTCCATCGATCTTAGCCCAAATCTGCTGCTCTCTGCGCCATTGTCTTATTGCAAAATTGATGATGCTCCATAAATCTAAGAATATATAATGTAGTAGATCTGCACACAATATACATATATAGCAGACACATTTCATTTCGCCTTTGTCTAGCTTTGCCATATTCGATCTGTAAATTCTAACAAATCGCTAACAAAGTTTTTTTATTTGCTTTGTTTAAAATTAAATTGAAATAAATTTAGCCGGGCCATGCATCAGTCAAGTCAACATATTAAAAAAACTGTCAAAATATTTATGAGCAGCTCTAGCCCGACTAGCAGCTACTCTGAACCCGCCCACAATAAAAAAAAAAAACTTAAAATATTTTTCATATATATAAGCAGGGATAGCATATGATTCGAGCTTGCCGCTTCGCAATCACAAATGTTATATGTCTTCAGTGGAAATATAAATTGAGTTTTTTCAAAAAAATAATTGCCTGCGCCAGAAGCGAACCTGCGATCCCTCAACGACTCACCTCGCCTACATCATTTTTGCCGCTTTTCCTCTAGCAGTCTGAGTGGCAAATGAGAGTGAAAATGCAGACTCTTGGCTCAGCTAGCCACATGCTTTTATCACTTGACCGAGGGCTTTGCTTAAGAACTTACTTAACAGAATTCAAAGAAATCGTCAGCGTATGATCCACATATATAATTGAATATACGTTAGCCTAGCTGATGTGCAAAACTCTTTCGTAGATTTGCCTGATTTGCAACTAGGTTTCAATTTCCAAAATATGAAGAAAATCAAAATTGCAAAAAGCATTCAGAAACTCAATACAAAATTTGAAGACTTTAGCTCCCAAGATGTGGTAGATATAATTTAATAGTTGCAGCTCGATAAGGTAAACGAATAGTTATCGATTATTAGAAACGAACTTTATCTGCACTTGCTACAGGCGTGTCGAGCTGTCTAGCTCTGAGATTGACGAGTTCAGGCAAACGAAAAGACGAATGGCAGAACAGGCCGAAGGACGGATAGAAAAACGTGGCTTGATCCACTCAGCTCGCCATTGTGATCAATCAGATATATACTTGATAGGGTCTGCCACGCCTCCTTGTAATTGTTATATAAAGAGTGTTTCTTCTTCTGGACAGCATTGCTTTATTTGACAACCCATTTAGCAGCTAATAATTGCTTTTTATTGAATTCACTTTGACATTTCAGACCAAAGATCAAAGTTGACTGTTTGGTGCCCTTTGTGGACTGTCGAGGACATATATCTTCAAGAACGATGATGGCCATGATTGTGATGATTCTGAAAATTGGCTTTTCAGAGTACGCCCAGAACCCATCAGCTATGTCATAAAATGCATAATACACAAAAAATCACATTATTAATATAATAAAGAAATTGCTGTTTTTTAATATAATTCTAACTTTTATAAATCTAAAAAACAGCCTTAACTAACCTTGACCCTAAACAAAACCAATATACCCTGAGCTTTTATTTTGAATTAATTTTTGGGTTAGACAAGAAACTGCATTTGTCTGGGACTAACAATTTATTATGTTACTGTAAATCTTTTACACAAAAGTAAATCAATGGCAACTCGAACTGTTTCCAAGCAGGGGCTGAGGTAGAGTCGAGCTAAGCAACAAATTTCACATTTCTCATAGCAAATTTCTGGGAGCACAAAATTAGCTCGTATTAAGTAAGATAAAATATATATATATATATATAGAAAGGTATAGATACATTTTCATTGCTGTACTGGACCAATCTTATGTTTGGCTCAAGAAGTTCGCTTGTCGCGTGTGCCCCTGTCCCTTGTCGCTAAGGAATATCCTGCCCAACTCCTATGAACTCTTACCTGCTCAACCTGAACATGAACATGAGTAAAAGGAAATTTCTAGCTTAAACAATTTCTATATTGATTCAATTGTTGTTTACTTGAGCCTAAATTGATCTGCGCGTGCTTTGGAATAATCTTTGTGTAAGTTTGCAAGGCTTCATTGCTTTCAGCTGACAGACACTCGGAGTGACCCAAATTAGCTCGGCTCTGCGTGATCAACAAATGTATATATCCAACAGATTTTGCCACGCCCCTAGCTGTCCATCTGGCATAGGTACAGTGCATACAAATTCTTATCCATTTTGAGCAATTAGAATTTGCCTTAAGGTCTATGCATAAGCAGATGTTCAAGCACTTGAAGAACTGAAGCATCTCATGCCTTAGTTGCAGCGAGCCTTGGCTTAAGGGTTAACATGTGTGCTCAACAGAGCCTTAAGGGTTAACATAACTGTCTCTGTGCAAGTGGTCTATAAGGCTATGAGCCAGGACACGATGTGAACGCATTTTAGAGCTCGCCACACATCAGTCAAAAGAGCCAACTGCGAGGCTCCATCAATTGTTGAGCACATAACTTTCTAAAAATGTCAACAATAGACTTTATTAATAAAACCTTTGACGTTTGGATTTGTGTTGCTGTTTTTCGCATATTTAAGACTTGGCAGCAAAATATCTGTGTGAGATTTCTGGAGCATAAAATTCCTTTGTGCTTTCAATTGAAATTGATTTCAATATGAAATTTGCCTTTGAATACAAATTTATGATTTGTTTTCGTATTTATTGTTAATTGGGAATTTGTAATAAGTTTTAGTGCAAATCAAATATATTTTCATTTTGCTAGAAGCCATTAAACGCCCTCTCGCTCTCTCCCTCTTCCTTTCTCTACTCATAGCTGAACGCTGTCTGCTGATAGTCCAATTAATAATAAACTGGGCTGTAAACAAATCGAGAAATTTATTCGCAACGGGGAACTCCGGCGGCTAGAAACTCGCATCGAAATGCTCTTATATCAAAACTGTGCCATATGCATATATATATATATATATATATCTATATATGTGTAAATATTATGGCTGGAAAGAGAAGAGATAAGCTGGGAGTGAACTGTGACACGAGTGAGTCCATTTGGGGTCGAGCTCGGAATGGCCTTACATTGATAAATGCGTGGTCGAGACTTCTGGCCAAGAACTTGGCTTGGCTTCTTCAAGATCTCACTTTTGACCCAAAAAACAAAGAAAAAGAACATGGCTGGTTGGCCAGTTGGCTAGCTGGTTGGTAACTTTCCGATTTCGACAACGACGACGACCTAAAATGCAAATTTCCGCCTCTGATTTGCCGAATGCGACTCAGCTCGAGTTGCCTCTGATTTGGTGGGCTGTCCTAGGCGGCGCTGGCGCGGCGGGCGGGGCACTGCAGCTGGCGGTCAATGACACGCGTAGGCCAGACCTAGCGCCGGACTGCATGCACAGGCCAGAGAGTCCATAGTCCAGCCGGCGTCCAGTCCAGTCCAGTTCAGTTCCGTCCAGAAAAAGCAGCCAAGTCAGCGAGCGCTCAGGCGAATGCATAAATTAACGCGAGGCATTTGCATAGCTTATTAAAATTTGGCATTCGCCATTCGGCCGCAGCCAAATGGCCATTCATTCTTCTTTCTGGCCATTTTCATTAATTTTTCGCCTAATTTCTTTTATGTGTGTGTGATTTTATGATGTCCGAGTGAAAGAACCGTAGCCCCGAGCGGCTACCCCGATATAAAATGTCTTTGCCTAGGCAACAGTCAAACCATTTAATAGACGCTCTCGCCCAGAGACAGATCAGAGTTGGCATCGACTACTACCATTTGACATGGCAATCAAACTTATTACCCTCTTGGCTGTTGGCCTGGCCCTGTTCGCCGTCATCGATGGTGAGTAGCTGGCCCCCAGCTCCTCCTTGGCTCCCACACTAAAGACTGCATTTATTTTTAGCTCGTCACGTGGCTGGACATCGCCATCATCAGCAGCGCGGCCTGATTGCCAAGCCGCATAGCGCGCAGACTCGCGTCTTTCCGGGCGCCGTCGCCATCAAGAAGCTGGTGCTGCTCAAGTTCAAGAAGATCGTCCCCATCTCCTTGATCCTGCTGAAGTCGAGCAATGACAACGAAGCCGAGCTGGTGCCCGTCTACCCAACCGATCAGATTCCCGAGAACGTTCAGTTCATTCCCACGCCCAATGGCATCTCCGGCCACAAGGATGTCCAGGCCATTGCCATACCCAGCGAACTGCACGAGCAGCTCCAGATCAACGGTCTCTCCAACGTGGAGAACATCGAGGCTCTGCTCCAGGGTAGCTCCATCATTGGCGACAACATCCAGTCCGAGGACGGTGCTAGCCCAGTGGGCAACACCATCGCCGTCGCCCAGCCCGAGGATGTGCCACTGCAGCAGGACGACAACGACGACACCCAGGTGCTAGAGGGCGCCATTGTGCCAGCTGCTGCAGATACCAGCGCCTCGGCTCCAGGTCCCAGCACACGCCGTCTCTCCAGCAACGAGCTGCTGCGCTCCGGCGTACGCAACTCCGCCCAGCTGCAGAAGACTAGCGTCGAAGAGATTCCCCTGCTGCTCTACTCGGCCACAGATGGCAGTGCACCCGGCCAGGAGGTCTTCGGCGAGCGTCGCTTTGTCGCCGCCGCCCCGGCACGTCGCCGCCATCAGCAGTTCTACAACTAAGACGTTCGACGACGTTCGATGGCCCCTCGATGGCACCTATTTATTACCGCAGCTACCCCGACCCTAGCCTAGCCTAGCCAAACCTATCCACTATCTGTAACTTTTCTTCTACCCGGCTGTCACTGCACGGCATGCGGCTTTTTTTTTTTTTTTGCTTGTGCTATTTGCTTAGACTGAACTGAATATAAATTAACATTATGAGAAATGACAAAGGCGCGCGATGTGTTGGGCTCTCTGCTTCCGGAGCACTATGTGGAGGGGGAGCGGGAGCGGGAGCGGGAGGGGAGGACAGGCTTGTTTTTCCTGCGCTTATCACAATCTGAAGGCGACGACGACGACGACGGTGGCGCAGTGCCTGCAGTTATCAGCTTTGTTGTGCCGTTGACGTGACGTGTCCTGTGCCTGTGCCTGTGCCTGAGCCCATGTCCTGTGTTGTGTGGCTGGCAGCGCCAGACAGGCGGAGACCTGTGCCAGTGCCTGTGCCTGTGACCAGAGCCTGTTATAAATTTCTCGTGTCCTCACGTGCACAAAGCCGACAAACAAAAACACAAACAAAAGCCAAAGTCAACGGCACAAAAAGGCACAACAAAGGACCGAAAACATATCGCAAAAATGGACAACAACAAAAGACAGGCCTTAGATAGCGAAGCTACCAGGCAAGCAAGCCGAACACCAAATACACTTCACGTATTCCATGGATAGAAATAAAAGCTAAAATCTAATGCTTTTTAGTGGTTTTTTGGCTACACTTTCTATCAGTTTTATCTAAGCGAAAACGCATTTCAAACTGAAGTCTACTGTCTGCCATGAGACATCTTGAGCTACTCAGCCCAGCTGCCCTAACTTCTCCTCATAAGGGGGAGCAGGGTTGCCCACTCCACTTGACTCCGAAAATGTAGTTATTTTCAGCTTTTCTTTTCCATTTAAGCAACAAAATGTGTTTACTTTATTTACATAAACCTTAAAAATAAGTAAAAAAAAAGACATGTGTAAGCGAGTAGAGGCGAAACATCTAAATCAAATTTAGCAACTCCGTGCTGCTCGCCTTTCCTCGGATAGTGTATAGGCAGGCGAGCTGCTAAGGGGGCAAAGGCTCATCAGCTGACTTTCGGGGCAAAAGTAACTTTGTGTTGCACGTACGTAGCAGTTGTAGTTGCAGTTGCAGTTCCAGTTTCGGTTGCAGCGGCAGGAACAGGCCCATATGTCTGCCCTGGCGACTGACAGCCTGAAAACCAAAAGCTGACACAAAGCACTTTTCAAGATTGTAAAGCAAGCTAAACGGAACAAAGGCAACGCGTACAAAGCGAGAGAGATACGGAGGCAGGGCCACAGAGAGAGAGAGAGAGAGAGAGGGAGGGAGGGCGAGTGAGTCAGGAACAATAAGATGCTGAACTATGATCTATGGGGCTCATTAGACTAGGCTCTTAAAGGCTACAGCTTCAACAACAAGTCAACGGCCATAGAAAGGGGGCGGCACGTATATGGTCACTCGCTTGTTGTCATTGTTGTTATTGTTGAAGCGGCCGCAGGGCGGCGGTCCGTAGTAGGTGAACGTGCAGACGGTGCAACAGTTAATGGGCGTGGCAATGACCATAATTGGCGTATTGCGACCGGGCAGCGGATAGGGCATTGGATAGCGAGGCGGGACTGGCATTGGCATCGACGGCGGCGGCGGCAGCGGACGGGGCAGCGGACGGGGCAGCGGCTGTGGCAGCACCGGCCCTGGCATCGGTGGTAGCTGCGGTGGTGGTCCAGGCACTGTGCAGCACGGCACAGGCGGCGGCGGTGGTGGCGGCGGTCCGATTACGTATGTCTCGCAGCAGCGATTATCCTGGTAGGCCTCCAAGGTGCAGGGCGAGACGCAGCTGCCGAACAGGCTGCTGAACCAGTCCGAGATGACGCTGAAAGTCCGACCCTGCCGCACGCTGGTGTCGTAGGCACCGAAGGCATCGATCGAGGTGTTAACCACCGGCTGCAAGTCCTCCAAGCGCGACGACCGATTGATGTACAGATACTCGACGTTGTCCTCGACTGCGCTGCTATTCCTGGGCCTGGGGCGCCAGCGTTGCAGCTGCACCTTCTGCTGAGCGCGATAGCGCACTGCTGGTGGAATGAAAGAAGCGATCGAGACGGCTTTAATGCTGCTGCCTCAAAGTATGCTACGATTACCCAAATGTGCGCAACCCCAAAGAAGAACAGTGAGTGTGCGCCGTACTGAAACAGCAGCTGCAAATGAACTACTCAAAGAGGCTAGGACTCTTGCTAGTTTGTGCATACGGACGGGTTAGGCTATAAACAATAAGCTATTTATACTGATTCTAAAGAGAGTCTTATTGATATCATTTGAGAGATGGCATTACCCTTCTCCTGACGAGTAAGCAGTAAAGGACAAACGGTAGTCGATGAAGGAGAACTAGTACTTTTTATGAAAGTGAGTCAAGGGATTGCCCAAGGTAATCATGAGTCGATGTAGGTAGAGTACTAGAGCTATTTCAATTAAGTATCAAGAGACAATAACAATTAAAAACTATAAGTCAAAGTGGTTTACTAGGGAGTGCATGACTAAGAGATACCCTGATAACCGTTTAAGTCAATCTGCTTATTGCGCACTTTACGCAGCAGCTTATCTATCGACTGTTCCAATGGAAATTAATTATGAGTTCTAAATGCCAATTGTGGGACGAATGATAATATAATATAATAATGTAATGTGGAAGTCTCTACTTTGACGGGTAGAAAGAGAAAGAGATAGAAAGAGAGGCGGACGAATAGACAGGCGGAAAGATGGATGGACATGAGAAAGGACGGATGGACAGACATATGGACGACGGATCGATAGACGGATCGACAGACGGATCGACAAACGGATGGACAAGCGGATGGACAGGCGGAGGGATATGCGAAAGAACGGATGGACAGACATATCGATAGACGAATCGATAGGCGGACAGAAGGATCGATAGGCAGGTTGACATAGCTAGATCTTTTCAGGGATCTATCATTTACCAGGGCAAAGAGAAATGAGCGAGTCTACAATATAGCAAAGAACTATCAAGTGAACCAACTACTCCAACTCAGACGTGTTTTTGTGCAAGTGAATTCCAAGAGTTTCGCCCACTCTCGCACTTCGAGGTGCATATTTGGTGCATTGACACATTTAAAATTAACAAATGCATTTTATTCGAGTGCTTAAAGTGATTCGTTGGCTAATTAAAAAAAACACGAGTTATTAGAGTGACCATACTATATAGAGAAGGTGGTGTTGGTGCTGTTGGTGGTGTTGTTGGTGGTGCTGTTCATATTGACTGTGACGCTACTAACGGCCGAATCCAAAGAAGGGGCTATTGAAGCCGCCGAAGACATTGCTGTTGGCATTGGCATTGCCGCCGGCGCCGCCACGTCTATTGCCGTCAAATCCGCCGTTGGCATTGGCGTCCGCTCCAGCTCCATTGCCATTGCCGCCGGCGCTGGCATTGGCGCTCGCATTGGCCGACTGTCCGTTCTGGCTGCTGGCGCTGGCGCTGCTCGACGCTGAGTTCGTCACGGAGCCGTTCGGATTGCGCTGCGAGCTGACGTTCGCATTGGTGTTGGCAGCGGCGTTGCCCCGATTGTTGTTGCCCTGGAAGATCGACTGGCTGTTGGCGTCGGATGTGACCGTCTCCTGGTTGCCGTTGCGCACTACCTGTGTGTTCGTGTTGGCCGTGTTACTGGAGCTGCCATGCTTATTGTTGTTGGTGGCCGTGGAGCCACTGTTGGAGCCGATCGTTTCGCTGTTGCCATTCTGCGTATGCTGGGTGTTCGCATTCGAGCTGGACGCCTGCTGCTCGCCGGGCTTGAAGTTGAGCGCCTGGCTCTGTGCGCCGTTCGAGCTCTGGCCGTTGCCCGACTGTTGGTTGGTGTTCGCTGAGCTCACTTGGCCGCTGCTGCCGTCTGCAGCCAAATTGGATCCGATGCTGCTGCTGCCCCCATTCTGTGAACCGTCCGCATTCTGATTGGCAAAGTTGTTGCTGGCCGCCTGCTGATTGAAGCCCGGACCGCCCGTGGCACCTGCATTGCCCGACGAGTGTGTCTGGCCGCGCTTATGGCCGCCCTCATTGTTGAAACTTGGCTCTCTGAAGCCGCCACCGAAGTTGTCCTGTCCGCCGAAGAAAAATCCGCTGAACGGACGTCCGAACTGGCGACGAGGACGTTCCGCGTCGTCATAGTTGCCGAAGCCGCTGTAGCCGCCATAGCCAAAGTTGTTGTAGCCCTGCTGGGGATAGCCGAAAGGCGAGTACTGGGCATGACGCTTGGGCCGCAACTGGCGGCGATTGTACACTGGCTGCGGGCGGTAGGCTAATTGCGGGGTGCGGCGCTGGCGGAAGCCACCGCCATAGTTGAAGCCACGTGAGGCAGCATTCTCGCCGAAGCCGCCCGCATTGGCGGACGTCTGGCCGAAACGCGAGCGTCCGAAGGCATTCGAGTTGCTGTACGTCTCCTTGACGTTGACGCCGCCATATTGCTGATTATTGGTGAGGCTGTTGCTGTTGGCGCGGACGCGTGAGCCGCGACCCTGAGCGTTCACTTGCGCCTGGCTGAGCGTGTTGCTGTTTTGCACATTGTTGTCCAGATCGAAACTGAGCAGACCCAAGCCCAAGCGCACATCTCCATCGGCGCCACGCTGCAGTCCGAAGCCCTGGCGGAGATTGTCCGGCGACAGAGAGGCGCCCAGACCCAAATTGCCAATGCGGAACTGATTGGCCACGCCGCCGCTGACAGCGCCGTTCGCATTGGTGCGCGTGCGCGTGAACGTGTTGCCCAACTCCAGGCCACCCAGATCCAAATCACGCGTGAGCGCCTGACTGTTGGAGACGACACGCTGTCCATTCTGTCGCGTTACCGCGCGCGAGTTGGATAAACCCTGCGTGTATTCGACATCGTTGCCAAAGTCCACCTGGCGCTCGTAGGCGTTGGTATTCGCTCTGGATGTGGAGCCCTGACGTCCGCGTCCACCTCCTCCGAAGAAGCCAGGCTGTCCGCCAAATGCCGGCTGCCCGCCAAATACCGGCTGCCCGAACGGTACGAACTGCGCCTCAACTAAAGAGAGAGGGATAGAGAGAGCGAGAGAGAGGGCGAAAGTTGAGTTTAAGTTATAGCAGAAGGTAAATGCAAAAGTTTTTGCCCATCTGGCGAAACTTTGTTATTTGTTGTGCGATATTTAAGATAAACATATCACAAGATTCATGCATTTATAATCCCCCCAACACACACACACGCGTAGACGGCGACAACAACAACAATAGCAACTGGCTTGAAAAGAACTCCTCAAACTTGTTCCACACGCCCTCGCCCTCGCCCTCATCTGTGTTTTTTTCCATATTTTTTTTTTTTGTTTTTGCTGTTTCTAATTTGAATATCATTTAATGTGCGCGACATTTTTCCCATTATTATTATTATTTTTAAATTCGGCTCTTTGTTGTTGCTTCTTCCTCTTTGAGCTGCTCCCAACATTTTGGCAAAGTTTTTTATGCTAACTATTCGACGTGAGAGTCAAAGAAATATGTATAATTTGTTGTCACGGAAAATATAATCCTGAAACACGCAATTATCATACATTTCTTATAAAATAGAGATAGCTGAAAATAATCTATAAATACTCTTAAAAATTTTAAGTCAGTTATAATATGGAAGATACAAAATTGTTCTAAAGGCAAACTACCAAGAAAATTAAAAAAAAAAAACCAAAAAGGAATTCACAAAGAAAAAATAAATAAATAAAAAAATAATAAGTTAAATAATTTTTGAATTGAATTGATATAGAAAACAGAACAATTTAATAGAATTGTCTTAATAATTTTTGAAAATTTGTTTCTATAAATGAATTTATGTTAAGGATATGAAAAAAATTATGCAACTAATATTTTAAAGTTTTTTATATGAATTTATATGTAGTCAAAAATAAAGCATACAAAATAAAAAATATTTTAAAATTTTTTCAAATTTTTAAATAATTTTCTATGGAGTGCTTATACTCTTTTTTTACTCGTTTTTTTAAATCATTAAAATCATTGTTTAAATTTAAAAAAAAAGTTATTGAAATCTTTCAATTTTTTCTTATAAATTTGATAAAAAAAATGTATTTGCCTTGATTTTCACACAAAAACAGAACCCGAAAAAAAGTTGAATCCTGCACGAAAAATGGACTTAACTGTGATTTCAGATATATATATTTATATATATATATAAATATAAATATATATAAATATTGTAAATATTATTTTCAATGACAATTTCCGTAGTTTTTGATTTTCACAGGTCAGGATCAACTGTTCATTATAGTCGAATTATTGAATAATATTTTCCAACTTTCAGCTTAATTTGATCTGAAATATTTTCGCAATTCACTCAAATTATTTAACACAAAGCGAACAAATTTTATGCATTTTTATACATAAAGCGTTCACTTGTAAAACAAAAAAAAAATCAAATAAAATAAAATAAAATATTATTGAAGTGCAATTTCAATTGAAACACTTTAACTTTGGCACTTGTTGCACTTGTAGCTTGGCGAATAAAATTAAAAAAAAAAATTTAAAAAAAAGGACAAAACGTTGATTATATAAAGCATTATATATATTATGTATATAATGTTATTGGATATTCTGAAATGTCTGTTGATGTTAACACACAATTTGGAAGCGCGATTAAGTAAATGTAGCTGCACTTGCATATGACAGAGAGAGCAATAGACAGAGAGAGAGAGAGCGAGTGGGGGAGGGGTACAGCGAGTGGGCGCTGGTTCGCCCTTTTTCTGACTGCGCTTTTGCTGCTGCTGCTGTCCTTTTGCCGCCTGTCAATATGCCGAACACGTTGCCGCAAAATCCTGCGATAATTTCGCAATTATTGCTGTAATATCAAAGCCTAAAAGTGCGCTGTGTGCGTGCGTGTGAGAGTGTATTGGTGTCATTATCCTGTCTGCCCGCTGTTCGTTTCGCTATTGTTGTTATTGTTATGGCTGTTGCTGCTGGTGCTGCTATTGCTGCTGCTGCTGCTGCTTTTGCTGTTGCTGTTGCTGTTGCTATTGTTGTTAGTGCTGCGCCGAGGCACAAAAATATTTACCTTGCGGTTGACAAACTGCCAGCCAACACACAATTAATCCAGCAAATGCGAGCCTCATCCTCATCCTAGCTGCGCGTATCTATGGCTCTGTGTATCTCTGTATCTGATATCCGCTGCCAGACTCTCTGCAGCTGTGCTACCTAATTTACCGTTGCGAAAACAGCGCACGCAATGAGCGCGTTTTTGGCCGCTGGCGACTTTTATCGTGCGCGGTTATTGTCGTCTTTTTGACGTTTTTTGTTTGCCCTGCTGCTCGCTGCTGCTGCTGCTGCTGCTGTTTTTTTTTTGTCTATTTCTTTTTTGCTGCTGCTGCGCGTGTGTTTTGCGTTAAGCGTTCGCTAGCGTTCTAAGCCTCTCGCTGGTGTTGTAATCAGGCTTTAAACCAAACAATAATTAACGCGTTTTATTGATTAGCTGCCGACCGAGGCGTTGCGACGTCGACGTCGCCGTCGCCGTCGCCGTCGCCGTCAGCAGCGAGCTTATGTTCATTGTTATACTACATATATACACCATTTTTTTGTATCTTGGAAAGAAATTGAATTTCGTACAGGTTTTGTTTCGTTCTTTTTTTGGGAGGGGGCTAGACTAACCTGGCGTGTGATTCTGCCAAGCTCGCAATTCTCGTCTAACTCGTTTCCTAATGCTTCAGCGACAGCAGCAGCAGTAGCAGCAGCAGCAACAACAGCGACACATCTCCAACGTTTGCTTTGTGATGAGTTCGTAAAATAAATTACACAAAGAATAAAGCGAAATTATCCATTTTTTGTTTTTGTTTTTTATTCATTTTATCGCTTCCCGCCTGAAGTTGATTTTCGTGGGGGATTTTTGGGGGTTTTTGATTTTTATTAAATTAAAGAATTGACACCGCTGAGTTTATATAACCTATAGAGAAAGCCTTCTTAGCTGTAGCCCAGACATGGAAATGGCATTTGAAATCAATTTCAAGAGTTCTCAAAGAAGGGCAACCAACGAAATCGGGTCAAAAATTCATGGAATCAAGTGATTTTGTGAAGAGACAAGACTCACAGTAAAGCTCTGATATAACAAATATTTGCTAGCCATGCCAAAACATAGTCTTAAAAAGAGCAACAGTACAGTAAAGCTCTGCTATAACAAAGGCTTACTAGATAAAAACAAATCTTAAAGACAGCAGACTTACAGTAAAGCTTCCCTGTAAGAAATATGTGTGAGAAGACTTACAGTAAGTCTCCTCTATAGCAAATGTTTATTATCTATATACAGACATAATATTTAAAAGAAAAGCAGTACAGTAAAGCTCTGCTATAGCAAAATATAACATATTCGTTGACACTAAGCCTCCGCTATAACAAATGCTTGTTATCTATTAAAGAGCAGACTTACAGTAAAGCTTTCCTATAGCAAGTGTTTGCTAAGCATGCAAAAACTTTGTCTTAAAGAGAGCAGCAGTACAGTAAAGCTCTGCTACATCAAAACATAACATATTGTTAAAAAGAAAAGACTTACAGTAGAGCTTCTCTATAAGAAATGTTTGCTAATTTACGCATGATATGAAGTAATGAAATTTATTGTTATCTATACAAAAAGAGTACAGTAAAGTTCTGCTACAACAAATTCTTGCTATTCAATAGATATTTAGACTTAATAGACAGTATAGCAGAAGAGTAAAGCTCCGATGAAATCCATATATATATATATATATTTATTTACATTTAATAGATATATATAGCTCGAGTTTTTATAAAGACAGATTCTTAAGGAGAGAGAACGCACAGTGAAGCTTTCGTCTGCCTATAGAAAAACATATTTCTATCCGAAGACTTTCTTATTAGGACAGTAAATTAGATTTTTAAACTTAAGTTCCATCATAGCCAGCTATGACTGTATTCGGCATAAGCTTAGTGTGTAGACTTAGTGTGTAGACTAAAGTCAACTTGGAGAGGCTCGTAGACGTAACTGAATACTCTTGGCATACCCTCGAAGCAGTTGAAGTGTGAATACTCTGAGTATAACAAGTTCTATTCATTGTCGCTAGGCCATGAATACTTTGATCAGCAAGCCGTCGGCTTAAGCCTCTATAAGAGAATATCTGAGCACAGGTTTATCTAGAATTCCAATTCAAAGTCATCTCAACATCTCTGAGGCTGAGGTAGCTACGCATCTGTTTGTTGACCTGCTGCGTCGCGCCATAACACTTATAGAGCTCGACTAGGTAGTGGGAAGTCGTCATATGGTTCAGGCCACTTCAGGGCCAGTTCCCCATTAGCGTCAATGTACGCGCTGTAGGTCAGGCAGCAGCGTTAGCTGTTGGCCCGAGCACATGATATTTATTATGATTCGCATATTCATTATCCGAATTAGTCATTAAATTGTCTTTAAGTTGTCTGTTGACAAATCTCTTTAGCAAGCTCGCAACTCTTCCCAGAACAATACCCAGCACTGTGCCTCGGCTCAACAGCAGCAGCTCTGTTCAGGAAAACAAATATTGAATATTTCTTTTGCTTTCTTGGCTTATTTGATTATCTAGATTTGGGCTGCAAAAACAACTGCTTAGTGTAGATGGCAAACAAGCGCATTTCCTGTAGCATTCAAAGTTCTATTTCATGGCACTAAAACCAAATTCAAATCACTTTTGAAAACAACTCAAAATTCAGCAACGACTGGGCGTAGAGTAGTGGAAGAGAAGCTGTGGAGCTTATACGAGGAATTATTATAATATTAAGATGGTAATCAAATGAGGCGATCTGGAGAGCGTGATGGGCATATCCTAGTCCCAGTCCTTTGCGTCTTCAAGGCTGGGAGCTTATAGTGAAATGTTATTCGCTTGTTGCTTGTATCTCCGCCACTATTGTATATAATTATATATATAATCTATATTTATTTATCTTCTATGAATGGTATACGACTCGATCATCAAAACATCAAACTGAGTTGAGTAATTCTTCCAAAGTAATTTGCTTGAACTCTTTACATAACTCTCTACTTCAGCTCAGCATTGATTAATGATTCTACGAGCAAATTTCATCTTTATTTCGAAATCGTGATATATACAGTCGCGCTCAGCTGAATAGGTTTGCCAAATAGCATAAAATTTAAATATTAATAAAATTTAAATATATATTTGCTATTTTTTCGAGCCTTCAAAATACTGAATATTGAGGAAATTGTCTTCTTCATTGTTAAAGTTGTGCAGCGCCTTGACATTTGCCTTATATAATTTTTATACTCATTCTTGCAGTCTCGAAGAGTCTATTAGTGCCTCTGTCTGAAGGCAAACCGTTTTGCCTTCAGATTTGAAATTTTGGGTATATAGCTGTGGGCACCTCTGCCCGATAAAGTGCTGAGAGTTTTCTGATACGTCCACAAGGCGCGTGGCAAATAGGAAAATGCTATATCTAGTCCAACATAAATGCTAGAGACTTGGAAACTCGCGTTGACTTGAAATCAAGCAGAATCAGAGTCGGAAACCTACAAATTTAATTATCGAGTTACTGCTGACCGCCTCTATCCGCCATACCCCTCTATCTTTACGCCCTTCGAGGGTGTGGCCTGTCCGAAATACCCTAAAATTTCCGTAGCTTTGCAGCCTAAGACCCAAAATTTGACAGTTTCGTTAGTATTGAAGCTTTCTAAGGAATTGCCAGAAATTGTGTGTCCACGCCTACTGGGAGGCGTGGCAAAGTGAGAAGAGAAAAAATTCTAACTTTAATGACAAAAATACGTCGGAAAAACCGGAAGTGCTAAAGTCTTTGAGTTGGCAGCGCTTAGAGCTTGAACGAGTATTCTGCAGTCGGTAGCGCCCGACAAATTCAGACTTGCTTAAAATTTAGAGAACAAAAAGTTCACTTAGATTTTTCGAAATATAGCAAAACTTCTACAAGTCGAAGTGAGACCTATTCAGTTGAGCAGCGCTGTCTATGGCTGAGCATTGGGCAAACTGTAAGAAGACTTTAAATATCATCTTCAGAACATTAAAACTAATGCGGAATAATATATATATATATATATATATATATATATATATATATATATATATATATAAATAATAATATATAAAAGAAGCTAATTAGCTGACGTCATAGACGCGGCTCATCAGCGAACGGGTATTTTTTCACTCTGTTCGCTGTTGTTGTTGTTGCTGTCTGAAATGTGTTTTATCAATTTTATTTAATTTGTTTTGTAAATTTTGGACTTTTGGGCTGGCAACTAGAGAGCTACACTGAGCGAAATGTCAGCTGCAGCAACAAGAACAATTGGGTCAAAGCTAGCGAAACTTTCGCCAGACAAGTGGGCGATAGAGAGAGTGAGAGAGGGAGAGTGGGAGTTCTTGTGGCTGAGAGAGTGAGAGTGAGAGGGGCATAGCGTCGCTATTTTGAGCCATGGCTTAGCTCTGTTCCGATACGCGTATAAAAAATTGTTTTTTATTGTTATTTGATTTCTAGCGTTTATCGGTCTGGTGGCATCTTTACGCTGACGAGCGCTTCGAGAACAACCCAGACCCCTTGCTCATGCCCCTGCCCAGCCCCTGCCCATCCCCCGCCTACACACACAGCTCCCCTCTTCAACAACTTCTATGTTAAGCCCTGCCACGCCTGAATCGCTGCTGCTGCTACTGCTGCTGCTGCCTTGAACGCGTGAAATGGAGTAGAAAAATTGTTTTTCTATCAAAGGCGAAAAATCGCAGCGGCGTGCAAGCCACCCCCACTCGAGCCCCTCACCCCGCACCACTCACCCCTAGCCATTAGCTGGCAGCAACAATTTCGTTGTTTATGTTGCCATCGCGTTCGGTTCTCTATCAATTTAATGCCCGCAACGTCGCTGGACACGCGGCTTTAACTTTTTTCCAACTTTGTTTAGATTTTTTGTTATTTTGGTTTTTTTTATTGTGTTTTATATATGTATATTTCGGGCAGGGGTGGGGGCGCGGAGGGGCCCACTTGAGCGCTGCTTCGGTTTTTGGTTTTCTGGTTCTGTTTCGGTTTCAGTTTCGGCTTTTCGTTGTCCGCTCTTGTCTGGCGGCATTAGCGCGGCTCAGACTTTGATTTGCGCTGCTAATTGGAGTTTTATTCGCCCTGGTTGAGTTAGGGTGGGCGGCGTGGCGGCGGCAGCAGGGTGTAGCAGGTGATTCCAGCAGCGACGGGTTACCAAACAAGCCAAGCTTCAGGGACTGCTACTTTTATCTATATGCTAAACGAGTCTGGATGAATGCGAACTTCTGTCTAATATATGCAGCTAATCGAGGTTACAAAAACTTGCTTGCCAGATTATCAACTTAACTCTTATTTGCTTAATACAACTATGGCAATTGACTTCCTTTATTGTTATTGCTATGATGTATGAGCTCATCTGTGTGTCGGCCAGGTTCTCGCTTGATCT